CTATAGAAGAAAACTTTTTCCAGGTGTAACTTTTAACATTAATACTTTAAGAAATTTAAATTATGCAATAATAAGATTAACAATAAATGATCAAGTGTGATAAAGCAGTGCACCGTATTAGGTATTAGCTACTGACAAATATATTTTTACAACAATGACATTAATCACAAAACAATAGTTCTAAGTCATACATAACAATATACAAAAAATCTCACTTTGGAAAAGGAAAAATTAAGCACTTTTTAAAAACACCCAATGAAAAAAGCACCTTTAAGGGCTTTTAAAAAACGAATATCGAAAATAAGCACCTTTAAGCATTTTTTTAAAAACGCTATGCACCATGTTGTAATATTAAAGAAAGGCACATGCATAAGTTTAATAAATTGGAACAAGATTATAGCTAAACAAGATGTATGGTCTAAATATTTTGCATGATATTTTTTTAGTAAACATCTATATTTTCATTGAATTGATACAGATGCTAATATAACATATACATGAAACAGACTGTAAATTATATACTATATAGCAAGAATTTGATATCACTCATTACTTTGGGGGGAATAAAACAAATGCAAGTTTGAACATAACATACACAAAAAAATGCAAATGATTATATTAATAAATAAAGTGAATAGATATTTTTTGTTTTAGTTTTCCTTTTGTTTTTCAAAACTCACATTTGAAAAATATTACAACTAAATAATAATCTCCTAAATTATTCATAAATTGAAAAGCAAATAATTAGACAATAGCAAGTTCTTTCAAATCTGAATCAGTCTAAACATACTATTATTTTCAAACGAGAATAGATAAAAAAAATGAGTTTGATGTAATTTTCTTAATGAGATATGACTGCATTGGTGATATTTAGACAACATTCCTATCTAATTGTCAAAATTTACATGAAATCTTCATGAAACATTTAATGAAGTGAATTAGAATTAATGAAACTGAATTAATGAATAATGTATATTACATTAAATAATTGATAAAGTTTGCGTGATTGTATTGTTATTAAAATATAAATACTATTTTCTAATATGTTAGACCCAATTTTAGGTTATAGGAAATGTATAAAATTAAATAAAATATCAAAATATATCCATTTAACATATCTGTTTCAATTTTAATAGCAAATTATCTACAAATTGTTACTTCAGAATATCAGTAATGTATTTTGAACATAATAAAATCTATTGTAGAACAATATTTTACTGATAACTAAGACTTAACAAGATTTATTTTCTTTCAAATATCTCCATAGAATGTGAAGCGTGATTATTAAAATTTTGTGAGCATGCGTAATTTTCACTGAGTATAATTTTTTTAATCGCATTTATACGAATCTAATTTACATATATACTATATGTAAATCAAAATTATAAGAAAGGTGAAGTAAGTCTCGAAGATAGCGTAAATTACGTAGCGCAATGTGTGATTTGCAAATTGAAACTGAATTGCGGTGTATGTTTCTTAAATCAGAACAATATGAATAGCAAATTATACAAAACGTATGAACTATCAAGACGTAAATCACAATGTGTGATACATGCATCATAGCTAATAGTTTTTATATGAATAGGGATCATTATGATGCAAATTGAAATTACGTGTCAAAAAAAAATTATTCAAATTCGCATGACATAATAACATCTTAATGTGAAATTCATAAAAATAAATCGAATGAACTGGGCAGCTCACATTTTCAGAAGGAATGATGACTCAAATTTAAAGAAAATCCTATACACAAACCCCTAACGAACAGGAAAAGAGGTAGACCCAGGCTGAGATGGCTGTATTTTGTTGAGACTGATTTCCTTACTCTAAAGGAGAAAAACTGGCGAACAAGTGTCAAAAGTAGAGAGAAGTGGATTCGAATTCAAAGGAAGGCACTGGCCCACCCTGGGCTGTCTAGCCAGATATGATGATAAAAAAGAATCAAATTTTTGAAAAGGGAAAAAAATAACAATAGAAGTTGTGATTGCAGAAAAGCGATCCCAGGTTACCATTTGGCAAAATGTCTGTTGTCTAATTTATTTTTTTTTATACATTCTTTATTTTTATATTCACCTGTATAAGTATCGAAATCGATTCAGATTGAACTGTAGGTAAGAATTTCTGATTCTTAATATAAACAAAAATATAATTCAAATGATAAAATTCTCTTTTATTCACAACTCAAGAATTATCTATGGGATCTCTCTGGCCCTATATCTCAAATAAACTCACCAACTTAATGCACAACAAAATTAAATAATAGTAAGTGAGAAGATTAATTCTACAAAAATTATCAAACAATAGCAGTCGCCATAGCAATACAGAGACATGCACACTGTTTACTATTATTCTTGAACACAGTTGAAGAGTGTGATGATGTCCAAATAAGGTGCGCATGGCATCAAACCCAAAACAACACCCAATTTGCCAATGGGTAATAAAAGTTAACATTTTAGTTACGCTTTTTCTTATGAAAAAAAAACTTTAATGTAAAATAAGAACTTTTAAGAGTGCAAAATTATGCTCTATTAAGCACATTTAAGGTAAATATGAACCCCACAGGAAAAGGAAATTTAAATCAAGGAGAAATACAAAAAATTTCATGTTCTGCAAACTCCACAGTAGATAGAAAAATGAAACTTAAGATAGATGATGATTAAATTCATTCCTCGATACAGTAAATAGCTCTCTTTCATTTCATGAGGAATTCATTTGAAAGTCAAAATTGTCTATTTTTCTTCACATATTCAATCCACTTCTATGCCCAACCCATAGTCCTTCTTTACTAGAGCAAGAGGATTGTAATATCATGGGTTTAGGGAAATGTGAAATCTTTCTTTTGATTGAAATGGGGGGGGGGATTAAATTGTGAAATTAAAAAAAGTGAGATGAGGGACTAAACCTTAAAAACAGTGAATAAAAGTTACTATTTTTTAGATAGTGACATTAAGTGATAAAAGTGACTCATGCTTAGCCATGCAATATTTGATTGAAATTTTTAAACACATTAAATAAAAGTCGTATATTTGAATCTAATACTGTTCCTAGTCAATGCAGGTAAACAGTTACACAACCTTTGACTCAAGCAATAAGTAAAAGACATAGCACTTTCTGGAGTTTCTCAGTACTCACATTCAGGTCAGTTAACCATGACTTTAACAGGAAGAAAAAGAAATTTAAAGCCTTTTAGTAATAAAAATTGCAATCTGTGAAAGGCAGATAAAAATTTTAATTCAATAAATGTAACAGTGCACAAAAAAAAGACCACCCCCAAGAATAACTTTTGATCCAAAGAGTGCAGATGATATTTCATGAAACGAAATCAGATACAAAAACATATTATACAACATATTTCTTTTTTACATTCCAAATATGTAAAAAAGAAATGTATGTTTATTCAGAGAAAGTACGCTTTTGTGTCTGATTTCGTAGCTTAATTAATAGTTAGCACTATTTAATTAGCATATTTGAGGTCACCCCCAGGAACCAATAAGATTTACGCTTAGTTCGTGAAAATCCGATCATTAGAACGGAAGTTATTCAGGGTGATATATATATATTTTTTTTTACAGACTGTACGTTCATCGTACATACATTGTATTTCCAATAAATATATGTATGTACTTGAAATATATGCATGTACATACAATTTATGTATGTTCTTATAAACTACTTAGACAAAACTATAACTTGTTTTGGCATCAGGCCCAGAAATCTAGTTACAATTTAAGCAAAGTAGCTAGTCTGTTTGATAATTTTAATTCGATAAATTTTTTCTCATTGTTTCGAAACAATTGTAACTTGTACTGTCAATATGCACATAGAAGCAGTCACTCTAGTCAGAAAGCTGTTGGAATTCTGATTGGCGATAAGCTCCTTTCACAACGGTTAGGAAAACATTGAAATTTCTGTTGCCAGCAGTCACAGAATTCCAGTTAAAATTTACAATTTTAAATAGTCGAAATTTTTATGAATGTTAATTTCTATTTGGTGATAATATGATGATAAATCCTGCTTTTGCCAGTCAAGAAATAGTTGAAGCTTACATTTTTGTCAAGCATAAAATTACAATTAAAATTTTTATTCAGGTTGAAGTTATAAATTTTAACTGACAATAAAATTTAATTCGAAATATGACGATAAATTTTATTTAACATAGAGTTTTGGCTAAAATTGTTGAGTTTTAGCCAATTTGAAAGTGGTCTCAGTCTAAGTTTGATGATAAATTCAAAGTGTAGTACTCAGAAAAACATCAGATATTTGATATACTTGTATGAACAATGAGAACTTGTATTATCATTCAGAGCAGAACGGATGCAGTTGTATTTTAATAGATAATTAGCTCAATTTTTCTTTAAAATGATGATAAATTCTATTTTTAACGATCAGTAAATGATTGAAGCTTGTAATGTTATCCATCATAGAGTTTTTATTAAAATTGTAGAGTTCTAGGTAATTTTAAAGTGGAATTAGTGTTGAATGGCGATGAATTCTTTAAGTAGCAGTCAAGGAACGATCAAAGCTCCAGTTGAATTTTAAGTAGTCTGGTTAGAATTAAAATGGTCGGAACTTTAATTAACAATAAACTCAATTTTACGATAAAACGCTGTTTGCATTCATCACGAAACACTTTTTGTTTTTTGATTTATGTTTCAAGAGTTACTACTTAAGCGATAGAACCATGATAGCTAAAGCAAGCTCTAACGATATTTAGGATTTATTCAATTCTTTCATTCAACTGCCACTTTACTGACTTCGAAGTAAATTGACCAAAAAGCTATAAAACATAATTTAATCCTCCTTTAGTACATAGTTTATTATGGAAAAATGAAAAAAAAAGTGGAAAATAATTGCCTATTAATTAAAAGAAAAAGAAATTAATGAACCCATTATTAAAAGAATTGTAAAAATCTTGACACTTCTAAAAAAAAAAAACGAGATTGAATATTGAATGAGAAAAGTAAAACAATTTTTTTAGCAAAAAAATTTAACACACAGAGTTTTTATAACAAAACATTTATTTTATCGTTTCTGGTTTCAATTATAGATACAAACACACATCAAGAGAGGGAAATACACTGTACACCAGTTTTATTTTTCATTTATCAAAAACAAAAAAGCAAAATACAGATTTTAAATCAGCAATTACTATTAAGAGCATTAAATATTTTTCTAATAATCACTTAAGAAGTTAAAGCCATAATAAATCTTGTTTAGTATTTACGTTTTATAACATGAAATAGAAAAAATAAATACTGAAATATCATGATTTTTCTGTATTCTATTAAGATATTTTAATAATATATAATGATTTGGTTGTTGTTCTCGTGACCATATAACATAATGATTTGGTAAGATTCTAGAATACATTTATGTTAAGTATCAAACATTACAAAAAGTATAGAAACCTGAAATTCATCTAAATTCAAAATTTTCATTACCCAAAAGAAATGACTATTTTCTTAATAACATTAGTATAATGTAATGCATGCATTTCTACTTTTCAATTTTTTATATTGAATCAATGGAATGTTGTGTTGTCTAAATTTGATGACTAATTTGTTTTTTTTTTCCATAACTAATATTTATGAAAAACTTAACACATTTATTTTCTTAAATAATGTTATTTAATGTTGTTAAGGAGCGTTAGATAAAAGAAAATTAAATTATGAGATACGAAGTAAAACAATACATTATTTATCCTTTTAAAACAAAATTTAGAGAAAAACTCATACGTTAAAAAATTTTCCAACTTAAATATTTACAAAAAAAAAAAAATCACATAAGTTAATTAATGCAAAAATATTAATACAGTCAATTCTAAAGATGAAAGAAACAGTTTGTGCTAGATTAAAAAAAAAGCAACTGAAAACTTATAGGAAGAAAATATAGTTTTAATCATCTAAAATTTAAAACATTTGGAGGAAGACTTAGATCTTATAGCATTTGATATTTTTGAATGAGAAAAACATCCAAAACAACCTCAATTATTAAAAGTAAAGAATTCAAAATATATTTAACAAAAAAATATTTTGAAACAAGGATAGAAAATAATCTTTTCATATCATCAAGAAAAGTGATTGGAATGACATGAAATACTGCTTTAAAATGACACTATGTTATTTTGTAAGAATCAATAGTCCATAAAATATTTGGAAATGAAAAATTTCATAATCTGAAAAAATTTTTGAGTGTAATCTATTTAAAAATCAAAAATGTCATTAGAAAAAATAAATAAATTAAAAGATCTTGAGCACAAGAAATTAAACAATTTTATTTTTTAAGTAACCATAGAGGAAAAATAGAGAGTGAGCCAAAATTTTTTTTCTTCAAAAATATATTCATAAATTACCATATATCAAAAAAAAAGTGTATGTTTTCAAGATTCTTCAGCAATTAAAAAAATTTATTATTCTAATATTCAAATTCACATACATTCTATTTTTTTTAAAGAATTGAAACTAATACTTATATAAATGTAACAAAAACTTAAATCCTGATATAATAATAATAATAAAAAAATCCTGTCTACTTTTCTGCATATAAGACATTTGGACTGCCAATATGGCTCGCAAATTAATATTTATAGCTTTTAACTTTGCTATAAAGATTAAAAATATATTCAGAACATTCAACAGTTTAATTTTTTAGGGGTTATCTTAAAAATAAATAAAGAGTGCAATATTTTATTTATATAAAAAGCTGACAGAAATGAACTCATTCTGACAGAGGGAAGAAATTTACATATTTAACTGTTTATAGAAATTTCTTTAAATGCAATTTGTACACATCAATAGATTTTTAATATAGCCTTTTTCTTGTAGTATCTTGGGTCCTTTGAAATGCCATTACACCACCAATTATACACACACATATACCAAGAAGAGCACATACAATGATGAGAAAAAGTTTTGTTCCAGACATGGGAGGTGGTGGATCATCAACGTGATCTGTGTAAAAAGAAAAATATATCGATATAAACAAGGCTCCTAAACAAAAAAGGAGAATTTTTTCCCTGGCTTTTCCAGGTTTATATAAATTTCCAGGATTTTTTTAAAAAAGAAAAGAATTTTTTTTTAGCAGTACAAAACCCTTGAAATCAAATAATAAATAAAAATATACAAATAATTTGCGTTTAATTTTAAGCTAAATTGCATTTTATTAACATAAGAACACTTTTGAAAGAACACAAAAGCAATAAACAAATAAAAGGATTAAAAAAAATAATCATGGGAAAGAGAAGCACCAATAAGATTATAAAACCTAATTGAGCAAAACTAATTAAAAAAAATAATAATAAAAAAATATTTTTTTTTAAGAATAATTATCAAACCATCCTAAAAAGAAACTAGAAATATACAAACAATCCATACATAATTAAATTTAAATTGAATAGAAATAACTAAAAAATAGTAATGTTTTTTATCAACAAACAAACAAAGCCAAAACAGACGATAAAAACGATATAAATTATATCTTTTGCTATGAAAAAAAAAACAAACTAGATAACCTAAAGTTTGAAACAAAACTGCAAGATAACAGAAAATAAAGGGAAAACTTAGTAAACAATAAAATAAAAGTACTACTTTTCAACAACAAAGTCACGCTAAAGAAATAATTAAAAAAAACAGCAAATAAATATATAATACAAATACATGTTTTTAAACAAAATTAAATCATACTCAGTGCGACGATTAACGTTTTTAAGAATCGAAGAAAAGAAGAACATAAAAATGCAATTACAGTTAGACTTCTATTTAACGAACTTTCATTTTGCAAATTTCTCTATTTTGCAATTTTTTTCGAGGAACCAAGAACATTTTGAAAATTTCTTCATAAAATAATTTCCAAATAGCGAAGTGAATTTTCCATTTAATAAGCTTTTCCTTTAGATCCTTTTCCTATTTCCCAAAATAGTTATGGGGGAAATGACCTTGGATTGTTTATCGCAGCTACTTTACTTTTAGAGAAAGCAGTAACACCCCTTTCCCTTTTTGTTTGCATTTCATACATGAATCCACACCAAAAATCAATTTATGAGAAAGCATAACAGAAATTTCTAAAGCATGAAACTATGATGTTACAGATCCTAATAAATTCCATACTACTAAATTCCATAAATACCGATTCATCGCAAAAAGAAACTAATAAATATATAAGAATTCACATTAAATTGAAGTTAAGCCAAATTATAGTTAACTAAATAGAATAAAATTCTAACAAACTAAATATTTATTAAAATATCCAAATTAAGGATTAAAAAACAAAACAAAATACAAATAAAAATAAAAACAAAACAAAATATAAAACAAAATTAAGGATTAAAAAACACAATATGCATAACACATTCATAATCAAACATAAACAAACTTTAAAATACAAGGAAAACTAATTAATCAAATTAAATAAAAACAAAATTAGAACTACCAAACAGAAACGAGAGTTAACAAAACCACTAACATAAATATTAAAACCCGGGACAAGCCAGGGTATAATGAAATCCATTGAATTTTAAAACAATCTATATCTTAAAAATAATGAATCAGAATTAGTTTAATATGCATAAAATTAATTTATGATGAATAATAATTTTAAAAAGAAGTAATGGATTCAGAAATGTATTACTTGTAAAAAGACAAAACATGTAATATGCTTCATAAAATAATCATCTGCTTTTGGTAACAAATAATCCTATGCTTATATTAATAAAAAATCTCATGCTTTTATTTCTTTAAAAAAGCAGACAATTTCTAAATAATGTGAACCCCCATCGGGCAAAATTTGCAGATACCAAACTTCTGAGGCGTCAGAATTTATTTAATTAAACTATATTGTTTCTTCCAATAGATATCAAATTAATACAGCACATGATAAAAATAAGTTTTGTTCATAACAACAAATGTATTATATGAAAATAGAGAGCAGTAATAGTTAAAATAAATCAAGGAAAATGAAAATTGAGAAACAAAAATGGATTTAAAAAAAATCCTAACATGCCAAAAACAAAAAGCTAATAACACCAGTTCAGACTAATAAAAAGAGTCTTGTAATAGTTTTTAAAATAACAAAATTATACCTCAATACTCTTAAGGTAGATGTTTCATAATCCGAAATAGACACCCAATTGCCAATTCTTATCTCCAGAAACACTTAAGAATAATCTTGAAGATACACCTAATATCCATTAGTCAGGCAAAAAATCTGATTTTTATACTCTACTCTGCAAGCGCAAATTTACAAATTGAAAAAAGTAGAATGAAATCTTGTAATTAGATGTCAAATTCCCTGACTTTTTCTCCAAACTTTATTTTGCCTGACTTTCCTGATATGTACGAGCCCTGTATAAACTATGTTGTCAAAGTTAATAAAAAAGGAAGAGCTTCTCACAAATTTTTATCAATTTTATAGAATTTTTTTCATTCACATAAAACTTGCTCATTATCCAAAATTGTTCATAACAGAAAAATGTAGCACTGGACCAGAACATAAGCGAAACATGAGTTATTTTCATAAATTGTATAAGTAAGAAGTAAAATTTTTTGAAGGAAGTAAAAAATTTAAGAAAAAAATGTGAAAGGAATTACTAGACATAATGAAAAAGTACAAATTTACCTCTAGGAGGTGCAAAAAATGCAGCAGCAGGGGCAATATTTGAACGATCTTCATCCTCCTGAAACAAAGCAGTGCACAAATGTAACACTCATGATAAATACATTGAAATCAGAAACTTTTATTTCTACTGACCTGACAGTTTAAAAAGTTAATTAATTAATAACAAAATATTTACATTAATAAAAAAGTTTTTTTTTCAAACTAAATTCAACAATGTGATTGAAATTTCACAATTGTTAATTTTTTATTGTTGACTATAAAAGAAAGAAATTGCTTTGCAATGAAGTAGACTGTTTCAAAACATAAAAATACAGTTTAAACACTTTGAAATAAAATGTTTTATTTAAGAATAAAATATAAGAATATCCCTTTAATTGTAACATTTTTACATTTATATTTTCATTTGTTATAATCTCTAAATTCTTAAAAAAAAATAGAGGATCAAATTAATATTTCCACATAAGTAATAAAAAGCCGTAATCTTTTTTTGGGGGGGGGGGGGGGNGGGGGGGGGGGGGGTGGATCCGTCTAAGAGCTTCCTGGAATTAGTTTAACATTCAGCATCAATTTATTAAAACTAAAATTGGTACAGAGAGAGCCACTTGCTCATTTTTCTAGAAATGACCATTATACCTAAATTTATAGCTATATAAATAGAGAATATATATATAAATATGGAAAAAAATAGACAGGTTAACTACAAATGGAAAATGAAATTACTTTTTCATCTGGAATCTCCAACTCAAATAAACGAATGGAAATAACATCATGGTTATCTGAAAAATTTAAGGCAAGATATTTATTTTTAAATTCACATAATTTAACAATAGTTTGGTAAATCAATTCAAAATATTTCAAATAGCTAATTAAATTTTCAAAAAAAAGGAGAAAAAAACAGTAGTACCAAAACATTCTATTTTAGAATTTTGTTAAATTACACTCTTACTGGCTATATAATATAATACATCAAAATTTGAAATTAAGTGAAAAAAATTTTTGAAAAAAAAAAAAAAAAAAAAAAAAACAAACACTTAAGAAAATCTGTAAATAATAAAAAGCAAGCATGTTTTATTGCTTTAATTTTTTAAATTATTACTCTGTAATTTAATTACAAAGATTCAAATTTTTATGAGATTTGCATCAAGAATTTTCATTTATGGCATATTTTGAGTTTATGGAGGAGTTTTTTTCCTCCAGTTTTATAATTTTAGTTTAGGGGTCCTATTGTCCGGTATAAAATATTTACTTTTTGAAATTTTGCTTTTGATATTGCACCTTTTGCAGCTCAGTTTTTCCATACTGTTACAATTTTCTCAAAGTTGTTGTAGTATTTAATGCAATACAGTTTCTAAAAGAAAATTAGCATTGTCTTTTCTTTTTTTATAAGAAGAATAGAGTCAACTATCTCATGAGTAGATATTAAGGGAAGCTTTGTAAACTACTAAAAAATTACTTGGGCAAGAGACATTCTTTTATATTTAAAATCTCCAAAAGTCTTTATTAGTCTAATGTAGTGTATGCTATGGTTCACAGGGAGACATTGTTTTAATTAGCATTAATGACAAATAAATTAATAATTAGTTTATATAAACAATTATATTACAACAATATACAATTATGTATACAAAGTTCGTTTATTTTTTCATAATTTATGAAAAATCTTGCATATACCTCGGTTAAGAAGCCTTTGAAAAAAATTAAAAAAAGGACACATTACTTAGTTTAGGTTGCAATTGTCATGTTTTTCACAAAAACAAATGTATAAAGCACAAAAAAAAATTAAACCACCTTGAATAACTTTTGATCAATGATTGGATCTTAAAATTCTAGGACTCAATCTTGATGGTTTGAAGAAGTTACCTCAACTATGCTAATTAATCGGTGCAGACCATATTTTAAGTAACGAAATCAGGCCCAAAAACATGCTTTCACTGAATAAACTTAACTTTTTTCCCAACGGATTTGGATTTCGGAGCCCCAAAATATAGAGGGTAGAGCAATCCGGGAAATATGGTCACTATAGTTTGGTTAGGAGAGATATCCAAAGTTTGAACCCCTTATGTCAATTTTACTTCTTCATACATCACCATATCTCAAGAACATTTTCAACAAAATGAATTAATTTAGCAAAATTATAAAATTTGTTAATCCAAAGATAATTCCAAGCAAAAAATAAATTTCAGTAAATATTTATTACCTTTTATCTTATTAAATAATAGTAAAAAAAAAAAAACATTTGAGCAAAATCGGTAGAATAGTTCCTGAGAAATTTGTAAAATGACTTGTATATTTGCACCTTACAATTCCAAATTTTTTCAACTATTCTTTAATAAAATTATAAATATTTATTAAAATTTATTTTTTTGTATAGAATTATCTTTGGATAAAGGAATTTTATTATTGTGTGCAAAAATTTTCAATTCGTTTAATACAATCTCGAGATATGACAAAATATGCAAAAAATAAAATTAACATTAAGGGGTCCAAACTTTGGATTGCTCTTCTGACCAAACTATGGAGACCATATTTTCCAAATTTTGGCAACCCTTTACGTCTTGAGGGTCAGACACCTAAAACCGTTGAAAAATAGATACGTTTATTCAGAGAACGTATGTATTTGCCAGATCTTGTAACTTTAAATATTGTCTGCACTAATTATTTAATATATTAGAGGTCACCCTATTGAATGAGTCCTGGATAAACCTTGTATTGAATCCTAGAAAGTGAAGATCCGATAATTAGATCAAAAGTTATTCAGGGTGGTCCATTCTTTCTGGTGTACAGTGTGCAAAATAAAAAACAGAACAGCTGTAAAATTTTTGCTCATGATTGAATTACTGTTTAAGATTGAAATTCTGGTTTAATTCTAAGGAAATTTATTTATTTTAGTGATTTTTTTTGCCCATTAGAACATGTTTTTTATTCTTATCGACTCTTTAGTCACCAAAAGCTAACTTACCAGATAAATCCCCAGTAGTAGCTGATGCTCCAAAAAAGTAGCCAGTGGGAAGTCTCACACCTTTTACAGTAAAACATTCTTGCCAAGCATTTTTACCCTCAATATCAGTAGACACCTAAAAATAGAACACAAGCAATTCACTTTAAGATAAAATTTGAGAGAGAAAATGCACAAAATTATTCTTTACAATCTTTTATACTATTTTTTTTCTTTTACATGGAGAGGTTAAAGGGATAAGAGCTCGCATTAACTTAATTGCATCAAATGTGGCTATTTCATATTTTAGCGAACACATCGAAACATAGTATCGCCTTGAAGGCTAGAAAAAGGAAAAACATCATTATGTACATAGCAGTCAAAGACTGGGGTGCTGATGTGGTTACACTCAGAACTTCTTATAACACCCTCATTGGGCCTGTTCTTGAATTTGGGTTTCTAGTCTACTATTGCGCTTCTGACACTAATTTGAAAAAATTAATACAAGTCCAGCAAAGTGCTGCCCGCAATATAACAGGACTCAAGCTCAGTTGTCCATCAGATATTCTTCTCTTTGAGGCCAATTTACAGCCTCTGCAACTCAGAAGACAGGCTAACCTTGTTAATTATTACAGAAGCTCTGCAGCTATGGTAAACTGAATAACACGTCAAAGTACCTAAATTGATGGAAGTACAACCAAATACTAAAGAAAAACAGTCTTTCAGTCAAGTGACATCCCAACAACTTTTGCATCAGAAAGATGTAGAACCTCATTATCTCCAATTCTACATGTCCTTCCGAAGAGCTTCCTGGTGACTACTTCTACCTTAATTTCACAGATAAAAAAAAAGACTTCACCCCAGATCAACTCAAGCGATTGGTTTTGGAAGTCATTAATAACATTCCTAAGCTAGATATTAAGATATATACTGATAGTAGTAAAATTGAAGACTCAGCAGGAAGTGGAATTTGCATTGTAACACCTCAAAACAGAATTTCTCTTTTTCAACCTAACCCCAACTTTTGGAGTCTTCAAAAGTGAACTCTTAGCATTTGAGGTTGGACTTGAGATTGAAGAGAACAAATTTAAAGTTGTATGGATCTTGACGGTTCTTAAAGACCGTTTAAATATTGCTAACCGCACAAGTATTTCCATCTATAAGAAACAAAAAAACCATTTTGCAATATCACGAAATACACCTGCATTGTGTGCCATCAAATGTGGATATTTATGGCAACGAAATAGCAGACTCACTTGCCAAAGAAGGTTGCTGTCAACAGACTTCTAATATCACAAAATTAGCATTTATGGAACTTCATTCCATCAAAAAAATCTGCAGTTAAAGCAGACTGGCTACTTCCCCCAAAACAACTGGTATACGGCAACAGAACCTGGATTCTCTCTTTCTTTTTCAGGAGACAGATCTACTCAAGCTTGCCTATCGGGCCTTACTAGCAGTCACCTGTAGTGTCAAGTGTAGTGTAAAATTCTCTGCTAGAGTGAAAACTTTTCTCCATTGTAATAAATGCCAGCTTCATCAGGCCACTCCCAAACATATCTTGGACTCAGCAAAAAAAAATCTACTTGTATTCTGTTCTACTTGTTCTATGCTATTGTCATCGACATGATTAAAGTCAACAGTTTATTTGATCTGGTCTAATGCACACAGACCAGGTAAGAGATAGGAAGAAGATAAGCTGATTAAACAATATTTGCTACAAAAAAAAGGGATTATGATCACAAATAAGAGATTCATAAATCACCAACTGCTTCACAATTTTGGAATCTTGGACATAAATGTAATAAAGATAATGCTAAAATCTTCTACTTATATCTCATCAAATACTCTTAAGTCTTGTTTTATTCATATAATAGTCGATTCTTTAGTAAATGACCTTTGTTCTGCTCTCCCCTTCTATCACACAAAAGATTTATTCTGTCCTGAGTTGCCTCTTTTTTCAGTATTTTACTTCCATGTTTACGGTGCAACAACTACCCATATGACAGTTGGACGAATTGTAAACCCCTCTGTAAAATTAAAATGAATTTTTTTTTAATTTTCAAACGTCATTTATAAAATAATTGTCTGCATACAACATGTTTCTAAGGCAGAAATATATTCCAACAAGAAATCTCTTTTTATTCTCACATAGTTATTCTACATCCAGCTTACATAAAATATGATTCATACAGAGTAAAAAAAAAAAATTAGTAAACAGATAAACTTTTTGGAATTTAAAATTAAAACTTGACTCTACGAAAAATAAAAAAAAGGTAAAACTTAAAAGGAAAGCTTTTCAAACTTTCTACTCCGAGAAAGTGACTTGAAACTATTTGCAGCATTATATGCTTTCATATCAAAACTATGGTAATTGCAAGTATTGGAAGGATATGAACATGAAAATTAAAATCTGAAGAACAAAATAATTTATTAAAATATTGCTTTACTATAATGGAGATAAACTTGCTTGCTTTCAGAAAATAAAATTAGTTTATGAAAGAAAAGTTTAGATTAGATAAGTTTTCAAGTGTTTAAGACTTCAATAAAGCTAAATTGATATCTTAAACAATAAAGGGATAATAAAATATTAAAAAAAATTTAAGATTTAACATGTCTATGCTTCATTCATATTGATGATTCAAATAGTTAAACAAAATACATTTCATTTTCAATAAAATTAAGCAAACTGAAGGAAAAGTAATTTAAATTACTATTGAACAAAAAAGAGCATATTTTAAACAAAGATATGATAGAAAATGAAAATTAACTTTTCTAACAAGATGAGCTTAAAATTTTAGAATGTTTTGAAAATTAATAAAACAAATATATGAAGAAAACACTAACAGTGAGAACTTCTTTTTCATATCGAATAGATAAATGAGTGTCATGATCAGAGTTGCGAAATTTTGCATCACAGCCAGCAAGTTCAGTGTGAGTCCCATCTCTGTCATGGTCATAATGTAATGTACCATTGTTCACCGTGGCTGATATATAAGGATGTCCATGCTACAAAAAACAACAACAATTTTTTTACAATATATATTAACCTCAGAGTCCGAAAAACAATTTCTCACACAAAATGAAAATTAATTTCAGAATTATGAAGAAAAAATATAATGTTTACAATTACATGATTTTAGAAAAAAAGAAAAAACTTAAAGAAAATAAAAATAAAAATGTTAATCAGAGAAAAAAGTGTGAAGATAAATATAAAAACCTCATAAATCTAAATCAGACGATTTACAAACAGGGCTGAAAGAAACCTGTTATTTATTTAATTATTTTGAAAGCCCAACTCAGGTGGGTTTATATTTTTTTTTTTGTATATAACATAGTATATTATTAGTACAATTTTATTACATAGTATTTAATTTTATGACTAAAACTACAACAGCATACAGTATTAATATTGGAAAATAAGTTAAACACAAATTTTGTTTTAAAAAGCTAACAAACAAATTAAATTATTATACTGCTTCATTTAATTTTTTTACAAGATGAGATAAGCCCAGGGTTGCCACAGAAAAAAATGAACAATATAGTTGCGTTTAGTAGCCTAAAGCATGAAAATAGTTGCCTAAATAAGAACAAAAACATGACTAAAATTTCATTAAATGGCTTAATAGTCATATACCATGATCCATTAGTCAAGTTCGTGGCAAATATGATAATTTTTATGTAAACATTAGAGTTCTAGCACTAAATTTTTCTATAAAAAAAGTAGTATATTTGCAGGAAATTAAATACTTTGAATTAGTAGAAATCAATCAAAAAAACATTTTATCATCATCATTTCATTCATCAGTTTAACGAAGAATTGATTTTCCAAATATATCTATACATATATTGTGAAAAGTGATTATTCAAATTTGAAATTCATGCATCATAATATCATATTAAAAATTGGGTTTTTAAAATCATGTAGAGTTTCGTAGCAATAACTGTTGAAAAGGCGATTGAGAAACAAAATAGATTCACAATGGAATCCGAGCAAATTGAGCGCATTAAAAAGTGATGACTCAAATTTGCAATTAAAATTTCTTTTATTTTCTAAGAAGAAAAAATTCAGTATGTTCAGAAGTTATCGCTGGTTATGAACCCAATTTAAGCTAAAAAAAAAACTTCGCTAGGAGAAACGAAAAGTTAAAAATAGTTGCTTTTTTAGTCTTCTCAGGCATAAAAAATTGCCATAGTCGCCTCAGGTTAAACATAGTTGCAAATAGTCGTCTGTGGCAACCTTGTAAGCCGAAAATGTTTCTTAATTTCAATTTATTAATTGAATCTCATTTCGACTCTGTATTAAAGTATTTCAAAAATGCATTAAAAATTTTTTGCTCAGCATTTTAGCATGTCATCAAGATTATTTGCTTAAAAATGATCAAATAATTTGAGAAAAATATTTAAAAATGTTTGAAATTATAGAAATAATAACAGTAAAAAAAAAGGTTGGCAACCAAAATCCTTTTTTGTGTGATTTCTTTAGAAAACCCACTTAAATATGCTGATTAAATTGCAGCATAGCGTTTGAAAGCAAGTGGCATTCAGTTTCTGATATTATGGGAAACCAAACTTGATGTTTAGCTTTTATAATCTTTATTTTATTTATTCTAGATTATTGTCTAACCAAAAATTATCTAATCAGGGACACATGTTTGTTTTTAATACAAAAACAAAAATAAATGAATTTCTATTTGAAGAGGCTGGCAAAACTTCAAAGCTGTTTTAGTTTTGTTTTTGGAATCATTATAGACATTACACATTTCCTGGCTTTTTAATTTACTTTAATTCTTAAATTTATATTCGTATTAATCATATTTAATGCCTTTCTAAACAGATAAAACAATTTAATACTTATTATTTATTTAGTCCTTTCCTTTCTCAATATATATAAGGGCTAAAATTTTGTATTCAATTTAGATACATTATGAATTATTATTCAAGGTTATACAACAGATTATCAAAATCCACTTTTAATCTTCCTTTCTTTAATTTGCTTTAATTTTTACATAAAAATGTTGTTAAGTTTGAATTTAATAATAATGATCTTTGTGGAGTTAATTTGTGTATCGAATAATTAAAAAATTGATGACTTTTAGCAGTGTTTTCAATCAACTCCAATAATGGATCCCACCCAGTATTACAAAGCTGAAGATGCTTAATAAACACTTTTTAATTAACTTAACTTAAATAACTCAATTTTATCAGGTCACAATAGTTTTCTTAACTCTCATGACTCTAAAAATCTATTATTTTATAATAATTATTCCTGAATTTCGACTTTTTCATGTGGAAACATTCTAAATCTGCTGAAATCAAATGCATGGAAAATAAAGTTAATATTATTTTAAATCATTGTTTGGTTTTCCTTTAACCCAAATTTTTTCTGCATGCTTTTGTAAAATCTTAAAAAATAGTGAAGTAATCTTAATCGGCAATGTCTATAAAAATTAAATTGAATTTATTCAGAGTGGATTTTAACATCCTTCTACACAAGATTGAGAATGAGAAAAGTACAGTCTAAAAATACCTATCAACTCAAACCATGAAAAAACGAATAAAAAAGCAAGTGAAAATATTTTGCACAAAAAGAAAGCTCTCAAATTGTTTACAAACTTATTTAAAGGTTATTTTACTGTATGTATAAATTCACAATTTAACAAAGTACTACGGTCTGTACATTAATCGTAGCCCTTGAATATATATTTTTGGAATAAAATAATCATAAAGTAAACAACAAAATAATGTAGAAATATTGAGAAAAAATAGACATTTAACAAAGAATTTCTTTTATTATTTTTTCTCTGCAAATTTTTTAATATTTGTATACAAATATTCTGATCAGCAATTTATGAATCACCAATTCAGCAAATTTTTTTTACCTAAATGAAAAAAATGAGTAATTTTTACTTTTTATATTTTTTTAGACTATGCATTGAGGGAAATTTTCTTCTAGAGTTTAAAAAGTCGGAAGTATCACATGCCTGTCCTACAACAAATTCATTATTACTAAACATGCACTATAACAAACTTTAATCATAAACAATTTCCCTCATAGAGCAGGAATATATATAAAAAAAGTAGTATGTACTAAGGACTCCTAGCTAAGCCCTGCTGCCTAGGGCTTTGTTTTCTGGCATGCAGAGAACAAAAAAAAATTCAAGCTGTACATTGATTTCGCTCTTAATGCAAAGTACAGTGGTTCAGAGTTATCTACATAAATAATACTATGTGGCTGCTATTGCCCCATCATGAAGCATCATCACCATAGTTGGCCAGACAGCCCAATGTGAGCCAATGTCTTCCACTGAATATTTCTCCATAATGACTACCAATTTATCCTTGATCTCCAATTCTTTGCATTAATTGCAAAAAAATCAGACTCCACTGAATCAGCCCATCTCAACCACTTCTTACCTCGCTTTTTAGTTCCAGTGGGTCTAAAAAGCAATATCTTTTTTATTGTATTGTCATTACTTATTTAAATCACGTGGGCCATCCAATTAATTCCATTTATTTTTATGTATTAAATAATATCAGCTCGTTTATAAATCTTGTACAGTTCAAAGTTAAATCTCCTTCTCCAGTTATTCTTTGCATTTACAAAACCAAGTATACTGTGCGAAATCTTTATCTAAAATATTGGGATACAATTTCCCTCTAGTTTTGTCATTGTCCAAGCTTCAGAAGCATATGTCAAGACTGGCCTGACAAGAGTTTTGTAAATTAAGAGCTTTGCTTTTCTAGAAAGAAACCTAGATTAAATAAATCTTCTCAGCCCATAGACAACCCTATTTGCCAAATAGACTCGATTTTCTATTTCAGGAGACATTCTGTTACCAATCAGGGATGAGAGTAGTCAGAAAGTAAAAAAGAGGAAATCCAAGAATATATACATATATATAAACAAAAATTTGACAAAAAAAGTAAGATTTTTAAACCATGTGATTATAAATCCCGATATGAGGCTTTTAAATCACGTGAATATGAAGCTCTACATCGAATTTTAAAAAATGTGAAAATACAAATCATGATGCGTAATTTTTAGATCAAGATGCTAGATTTTAAAATCGCGATCTAGATTTTAAAATCGCGCGATATTACAACCGCAAAAACGAATCACGACATTGGATTTGCAGAGTCTGGACTTGGGATTTTTAAAAGGCTTGTTTGAATTGTTCTTTGTTTACACAATATATAAAAATTTACAAGATTAATTGAATGAGCAAATAAATATTTTCACCGCAAATCCACCTCTATTTTTTTTCGCTTTTTTTGTTTGCTGTCACTCCAGAATACAAGAAGCAGCGATGTCTAAATTACGAAAATACGAGCTAGTCCGCCGACGGATAAAAAATACGGAAAATCTTATTTCCTGTGCGTGAAATGGGAGAAAACAGCTAATATAAGTAAACATGCAGAAGGGTTAGCAGTTAGGACGTAGTTTGAATTTTCTATTTTTCTTTGAAAATCATAAATAAATATAATTATCTGACTTCAACGACTGAATTTAAAAAAAAAAAAAAAAACGGGATATTTATAAATAAATAAATAAAAAAAAAACGAAACTTTTAGAGAATCTGAGTTTTTGATAAAAAGGCTGAAATGCGAGAGAAAAAGCGAAAAAAAATCTCATCCCTGTATAAAGGTCAACCAGTTTTATCCCAAGGAAATGATTTTTTAGAGAAACTTCAGAGGGAGGAATGAGGACTTCAATAATTTTGCTCCGTAGAAAATTAAATTCCTCATAAAATATTTTAATTTGTGCAAAAAAAAAAAATTTCAGCGGAAATTAGCGGGAAAAATCTGAGAAAAAGCGGAAATCCGCGAAAGAATCTTATCTCTGACCAATAGTACCACCATGAAGCAATCACTCTCAAATCAGAGATCATTCCTGTTTATTGCAGTTTGGTGCTCTATTAAACTAGCATAAATTTAATTATTAATTTATCACATTTCCTCCCAAGCAAAACTTCTATCCTTAAAAACCACTAACCATGAGCATATAAATGTATTGTATATAAAAGAGCACCTAAATATATATCTGCCAAAAAATTGGTGCATGTTATACAAAAGATTGGCAACCCTGGCTATAAAATACTACATTAAGCAGATAAAAAATAATTAAAATAATAAAAAAGAAAATTAATAAATTTAAAAGTTTTTAACAGACAATTTGCTTAAGAATTCAAAAAACAATAAGATATTTAGGTTAAGTTATAAAAACATAATATTCATACTAAAGTTTAAAATTAAGAAGAAAAAAAAAATAGAGCAACTTACATTGTGAGGACCATTTTGATTGGCATATGTATCCAGGAAAATTCCAAGTCCATGGAAATAATCAATACTCCCAAATACAGGACCTATAAAGGAACAATAGGTTTGAAAAACTTACATTGAGTGTTCCATTTAAATATTAAAAAAGTCAAAGTTATATTCTTAAGATTTAAGTGAGCTGAGGAATGATAAGACCGTTCATAAATCAAAAATAGAGATGCCTTGAATAATGTTTTTTTTCCAATACTGAATATTCAGTCAACCAAATTCTGATCATCAGGTATTAGACTGAATATGCAATCACCAAATAGTTAATTTTAATTAACAATTAGGTTAGTACATAAAAAATCTTGTGTATGACTTTTTCACAAGTTATTATGTTTAAAATATATTAAATCCTTGGCACTATGAAACTTTTCAGTTTCAATTGAAAAATCAAATCAAAAGTAAACATTGGTTTATTTTAATTTGATTTATCACAAAAACAAAACAGGTTTATTTTTGTGCACAACTGAATTTTTTCTTTCATACAAAAAAAAAAATAGTATGATCCTTTATTACAAAAATAAACAAAGTATATTAATAGCTAACCTGCTACAAGTGGCTGTTTAGTGTACCAAATGGCCATTCCATCTCCATACAAATCTTTACCTTTGCCATATATTTTGAAGTGAACTTGAAGTTCCCAATTCTTTACTTTGCAGGGCTATAAAATAAACAAGTTAAAAGGTATATATAGTTATAAAATTGCTTTGAGAAAGCTATTATTAATTTTTATGATAGACATAGAATTTTAAACATGCTTTATTTTAATAATTAACTTATGTTATCATTCTCGTGCAAATTGCTCAGAATTCTTTCCTATTTACTTTTGTTAAGCTTTAATCTGAAATAAAATAGTAGAAGAAATACATGAAGATGAAGTTAATTTTTTTCTTTCTTTTGTTTAAAACTATCTAATTTCTATTTTTTAAATAATTAAATATTTTATTATAGGCTGAATTGCGGCGACATTGTCACAGAACGTTGCAGAGTTTTTGCAGAAAGATTTTTCATTTGGAGAGGGAAAATTTTTGGTTTTCCCTTCTACACATTTTTTGATAAATGCTTTTTTTTCAGCAGAATTTTTTTCAAAGGTTTCTTTCCTGCAGAGCATCAGGGAGGAAAGAAATAATCGTGATTTCTCTACTCTCATTTGGGATTTTAAAAAAAGTCCGTAATCACTGGCTTCAGCTAGAATTTCAAATTAACAATATAAAATAAAAAATTCAGAAATCACAAAAGTTTAAAAGATAGTTCGCTCTAGAAATTATGTTCTTTCTTTAATTTTTTTTCCTTTAAAGAACACCATATTTTACACACACTTATATGAGTATCTCTTTTTTAAAAGAGCCCTATTTGCGAGATTTATGTCGTCGATCTTTATTTTGGATTTACTGAACAGATTTTACGATTTTTAAATTAAGTACAAATTTTAATTTACTATCGTTTAATTTATTTACAAATTTCAATTTTCTATCGTTCAATTTATTTACGAATTTTAATTTGTATAATGAGTTACAAAACTTGAAAGAGGAAATAATTAGTGCATTTTTCTGCATACAAAATGCGAGAAAATGCCTATAATATTAGAATTGAAAAAATATAACTTTTACATCGAAAATCCTTTATAGATTTTTATTCTATACTCTCGTCTGTAAACACAATGTTTCTGTTACTTTAAATTAGTAATTGTTATAATTAAAAGTATCTTAAAGAAAAAGATATTAATTGCAAGGGAAGTTTGTTGCAGGAAGCCCAAAAAAATTTCTGATACAGGGATTATAGATTAATTCAATATTTTAAATATGCTATTAAATTGCACTATAATTTTATGACTCATTTTACGTTTATGACATCTTTTTACAGGTCTTAATCAGCTTCCAATGCTTATCGAGTCAAAGACCTAACCCTGGTTAAATGATATAAATGACACTAAAAATTATTTTTACAAAATTAATAGAAGTCTCCTATTGCTATTAAGCTAATAAACAAATTAATTAAAACATCAATGCATGATTTAAATTTTCAAAAAGCTAACTAAAAAGGAAATAGTTACAATATTTTCGTAATTTCTTACCACATTATTCCAAATAGCACCAGTTTTACTTTGTAAATCTGGGGTTAATCTGATGTAACTATTTGTGATCATAGTGCTTCCAGTAAAATCCCAAAATGGAATGGAAATACCTGAAGCTGTAAAAATTGACATGTATGATAAAAATCAACAAACTACAATAACAAAGTTATTATATCTTAAGTCCTATACAGTAAATTCCTGATTATCCAAGGGTGGATCATCCGCTTTGCAGATCATCCACAATCCACTTTTTTTTTCTCCAAATGTCTAATAATATTATATAGCATTTAGAATTGATAAAAAACTCATTGAGATGGAACTATTTTAAGAACAACATACTAGCAAACATTCAAGTTCCTAGCCCAAGTGTTCATAATTAATCAAATAATAGGTCTACATACAGGGTTATTCATAATTCCCTCCGTGGTTTCGAAGCGTTATAGTAAAAAAAAGAAGACTAATATGCAAAAAAGAAACATATGAAATTATTTCGAAACTATTCTAGTTTTATTTACATACATTACAGGTGTTCCATGTGTGAACCCTTGGTCACACGGCATACATCAGTGTGATAGTCCAGTTCCTGACCGGAGGTAATTATGAATAACCCTGTATATATATTATTGCTTCAAGTGCAATTACCTAAGTAAAAAGGAGCATTGAAAGGGTGAAAATGGTGAGGTAGTCATAAAGAGCAAGACAAGGTGAGTTATGATTTATAGTTGTCAAACTACAAATGCAGAATGAAGTTCAAATTTCAATAAATTGATTCTGCACCAATCAAAGCAGTTTCTTCTCCTGGATCACATTGTTATTCGAAGCAATGATAATGATAGTGATTGCAAGTAAAGAAATCAGAATTGCAGTCAATTGTTTATTTTCAGTTTTCTTATTGATAAGAGTTTCTAAAAATCGTGTATGTAAGTAACTCTTTATAAGAGCTAATTCACTTATTTTGAACATTGTTTTGAGCATTCTTTTTTCAATAGCATATGAACTCCAGAGTTAAAAGTCTGCCTGTGCCTGCTTTATTTTAGCCTCCTGCTCTCCAACACCGAAGAATAAAAAAATTTTGTCAGGCTTTTTCATACAGATATATATATATATATATATATAGCCCTCTTGNGGTCATTCTCACAAAAACAGTCATTTTCATGTCCCCAGTATATTTTATGTTTGTTTTACAGCTTACGAAAAAAAAAATTCAGGGAAAGTGTCCTTCAGAATGCAAGCTCACAAAAGAACAAAAATAAAATTATCAATTTTTATTTTTTATTTATTTTAGGTAATTAAAATATACCAATATGTCATTCCCTCACTTGTCCCCACTGCTGATTTAAAAAAAGATGTTGTTGTTGTTGTTAATTTACGTCGCACTAGAGCTGTGGGCTACTGGCGACGATCTGGGAAACATCCCGGAGGATGATCCGAAGACATGCCATCACAATTCTGATCCTCAACTACAGAATTGTGATGGCATGTCTTCGGATCAAAAAAAGAAAAAAATTGTTTCTGAAATAAAAATTTATTTTTTACAAATTTTTTTAATTTCAGAATACTGAAATATAGAATTCAGAAAATCAATTTTAAATTTAATTTCCAATAAAAATATTAACACAGCACTATTTTAAACTTTGTCCCCAGTGTTTCGCGTCATTCCCTCACAACAATGTTCTTATCACCTGCAATCTTCTTAGAATAAAAATATTTTAATAAAAACTTCAGAAGTTAACAACTGGCATCATAGAACAAAATTGCAGTATGTTTCCATCTTCAACTTAAAGAAGCTTTGCTGTGGAATAAATTTGAATGAATCAAACCAGGTAAAATTTTTTACATTTGTCATTCCCTCATGTCATTTTTTAGAGTAAAATAAAATACAACTTCATCGAGAAAGTGGATAATTATATGTTGCTTTCTTGTATGAATATAATTGTATGTGATTGACTTCAGAAATTAATTAGGCCTAACTGTTATTTTTAAATTTTATTGAATTCGTCATTCCCTCACTAGTGTATAAAGTGAGGGAATGACGCTGAAGTGAGGGAATGATTCAAGATGAGTATATTATTAAATTTTTTTTTGTTCAATCGTGCCAGCCAATTTTATTTCCCAAACCTGTAAAAACTATTAAATATATAAGACTAAATTATAATAAATATTAGATATACTTAGTATGTTATCATTTTCAAACTTTAGGTAGATGTAACTTAGATAAAAACATGTATTAAAATAAAATATCATTCCCTCACTATTAGTGTCATTCCCTCACTTTTTAAATAGTGAAAATAATTAATTTACTTATTAATTAATTTGAAAAATAAATTAAAAAATTAATAAATTAATTTATTAAATTAATTAATTTATTTATTAAATTAATTAATTAATTATTAATTATTATAAATTAATTAATTATAAATTAATTATTTAAAAAATTAATTAATTTAAATATTAAGTATAATTTATAGGATATATACTTTCTTTATAATGCCATTACATATTTCTATTAATATTAAAAGTTTCAGAGCTTTTTATTCACTTTACTTTTTTGGGATTTTATGAACTGAAAAATGACAGTTTTCGTGAGAATGACCCATATATATAAATTTATAACATTCAATTCCGTGGATAGTCTGAAGTTTACTGTATTAATAGCCATTTTACTTTAAATACAATCAAAATTTGCATAGCAATATAACATTATGGTTACAAAATATAAAAGAATAACAATCAGGATATTGATTATAGTGGTAAACTCTATTATATTGACATCTTTACTTCATAACTTGCATGACTTACAATCATAGCTTACATGATGATATGAATATCATGCGACATAAGAACGAATAATATTCTGAGTATTGATTACAAGGGCAATTGTAATTCAAATATATACCCAGAAAATCATAGAATTAAAAAGAAAATTTCTAATACTTGGAACTAAAATATGGACAAAATTAGGTGGCCATGAAAGGGTTGAAACCAGGGTTTGTTGATTTAAATCAAATGATTTTTTAAAAAAAATCATTGATTTAAATCAACTGATTTGCTGCATTAATTAATTTTAGTTAACAAAATTACTTTCTTTCTTGGTTTGTATTCAATTCCAATACATTTGAAATTACATTTTTAAAAATCATTTGATTCTTAAGATTGAAAGTACAGATTTAATGCTGTCTTAATATAGACTTGCATAGCTGTAGAAAGTAATTAACAAACATGAATTTAAAAAAAAATGCAAATAANAATACAGTGTTTTATATTATTGATACTTTTATTATTTTCTTTTCTTAGTTTCAAAATTTATTTTAAATAAATTGCTGCATTAATTAATTTTAGTTAACAAAATTACTTTCTTTCTTGGTTTGTATTCAATTCCAATACATTTGAAACTACATTTTTAAAAATCATTTGATTCTTAAGATTGAAAGTACAGATTGAAGTACACATTTAATGCTCTCTTAATATAGACTTGCATAGCTGTAGAAAGTAATTAACAAACATGAATTTTAAAAAAAATGCAAATAACGTTAATTAAAATTCTACCTCTTGACTGAAAAATCATGGAATTAAAATCTACATTATATTTTATTAGTGGAAAATGTATATTTCTAAAGCTTGAGGTTATATTAAAATGAAATTACCCCAATATGCTAAAAATAGAAAGGAAAAAAAAAGGCTGATGAATTCAAATATTTTTTTCCTAATATAGTGTCATTCTTCCCTTTCAAAGTCTATTTGAAGCAGTAGTTATTAACTGGTAAGTGGAATTTTTTTCTCATAATATGTTTACAGTATCTATGACATTATCAGATTTTCTATAAAGAAACTTTGTTAAAAAAAATACCAATGAGTACATAGATTTTTTTAAAAAATTTTCTCAGCTTAACTTATCTATTTTGATATAGGATTAAAAATGAACATTTTAATATAAAAAATATATAGATTAAATACTTATTTATTTTTTGATCAATGACAACATTTATAAACAAAATCTGTTACATTTATTTTGTTACATTAAGAATCAAGAGAAAAAAAAATCACAATTTTAAATTAAATTTATGGTGTGCTAATTGAAACTTTGTTTTAATGGTTAAAGAACAGAGGCCTGTCCAAGTCAAATTTGCTACCGCTTGGCGGTAGTTTCACAAAATACTTTTTCTTAGAATTTAATTTTTGTGTTGATTTTTTAATATAATTTTTAATTTTCACAAAATAAGTTTACCTCTCAGAAAAATCTAGACAGACCCCTCAAGTATTCTATAAATTCTCTATTTCATCCAGTCTTAAAATTTGAGCCATGCATTTGTTTCAAAATGGTTCCTATTCATTCAAAGCTATGTATTATAATGAAAAATTATTTTAGAAAGTTCGAGTTTCTAAAATAGGGTCAGGTGGGGGAAAGTGGTGGTAAAATCAGGCACTTTTGAAACAAAGCTTAAAATTAAAGATATTAAAGTTTTTGTCTAAAATATTTTTATTGAAAATACTTACATTTGAACATTTTAGAATAAAATTATTGCAGTATTTTTATTTTTAACTGTGTGATATGTTTACAGTAATATATTTAATTAGGCTAGTATATACACCACCACTTTCCCCCATGGTGGGGGAAAGTGGTGGTAGAGCTAAAAAACTCCTCTTTTCATTTATTATTAATACATTTTTATTTAAAAAAAGTATTGTAAATAATTTTTGAGATTGTGAGTAATTTTTATTTTAGTTTAAAAAGCTGGCAACAGTATTGATGCTTTCAAATTACACTGTTTATGTTCTCTGCCATGTGATTGCTTACATGTGATGCTCACAAACTTCCATACAGTACCTAATTGTATTTATTTAACGCTGATATTTTTATATAGACTTCTAGAGGAACATCAGAGGAACACATTCACATAAAAAGGTAAGGAAAATATTAATATTTAAATTATTTATAGTTGATTTTCTAAGGTGGGGTAAAGTGGTGGTATGGTTAGGCTTAATTATGAACTGTATGATATTGTTGTTTTTCTCTCTACAATTATATTTTTTAAATATATTTCTTCAAAGAATTTAGTAATAAAACTATTAAATTCTTTTAATAGTTTTATTACTAAATTCTAATAAAACTTAAAAACTATGTTTATACTTGATGTAAAAGAATTTAATAGTTTTATTACTAAATTCTTTGAAGAAATATATTTAAAAAATATAATTGTAGAGAGAAAAACAACAATATCATACAGTTCATAATTAAGCCTAACCATACCACCACTTTACCCCACCTTAGAAAATCAACTATAAATAATTTAAATATTAATATTTTCCTTACCTTTTTATGTGAATGTGTTCCCCTGATGTTCCTCTAGAAGTCTATATAAAAATATCAGCGTTAAATAAATACAATTAGGTACTGTATGGAAGTTTGTGAGCATCACATGTAAGCAATCACATGGCAGAGAACATAAACAGTGTAATTTGAAAGCATCAATACTGTTGCCGCTTTTTAAACTAAAATAAAAATGACTCACAATCTCAAAAATTATTTACAATACTTTTTTTAAATAAAAATGTATTAATAATAAATGAAAAGAGGAGTTTTTTAATATACCACCACTTTCCCCCATCCCACCACTTTCCCCCACCTGACCCTATTGCTTTAATTTAGTTTTAATATTACTTTAATTTTGATTTAACATTTATAAAGTTTTTTAAATAATAAATTAAAGTTCTTACAATTAATTTGAATAAAAAAAAATCTGATTTATATAAAAAAAATCATGAATCCTGGTTGAAACTAGTTACTAGAGTCAATACTTTACAGGCAGAATTTTTTTTAATTGAGATATTAGGTTGACTTCATTTTATTTAAGGCTGTAGTCTTTTACATTTGATTGAAAAAGAAGAAAAATAACCTCAGTAATAGAACTCAAATTACTGAGACTCATTATTAATGAAAGATATTTTAAAAGAAACTAAATCCCTAGTACCAAGGTCTTTGAAATTTTGCAATTTAATATTCAACATTTTGAAACTTCTGATTTTTAACATTATATAAAAAATATCCAATTATTCTAAAAAATAATTGCTTTCTTGCATACAGGGCTGCCACTGGATGAAAACAAGAAAAATAGTTGCTTTAGTTGCATCATATATGAACAAAAGGCTCCTAAATAGTCTCAAAGATATATAAAATAGTTGCTAACATCATATCCTCCTCTAATATAATTTTTATTATTTGTGCTGTAATAGCATAAAATTCAAGTAACATGCATTTAAATACTCATATTTTAAAAAAAACTTACATTTATTTGTGGATTTTCCAACAATATATTCTTTCACACTACGCATTAAAACAGGGAGTTTTATTTTTATCTGTTACAGAACAGTTGAATTTTCCTTCTCGGTTCTAATTTGCAGCTGCTTAGTTTAGACATTAAAAAAATAAATAAATAAATATTGTAATTTAATTCCGTTTTATTTTGTATATTTTTCATAACTGACACATTTCCAAATTTTAATGCTTATAAAAAAAATTACGATCACAACTCGACAAAACGAATATCACCATGTACCTTATTTTCTATTCTAAATAGCTCTAAAAAAATTCACAACACATTTTGTGTAATTAAAGACAATTTTTCTAATTTTGCTACTTCGTTCGAATTAAAAGAGGGGAAAAAACTTAATCCTCAGAGATATTACATTAGCTTTCTGAAGCAGGAGGAGCATTCACGTAGTGCGAATTCCAATTCCATCAGTCTGATTGGCTAAATATGTCTGTCATGCTTTTGACATCAAACAGTGAGAAATAATAAAGTTAGGATAAAACGAAAGCACGGCAAAAAAAGTGGGGGAAGGGGGAAACTCATGAAGCTATTCTTCATTTTAGTCGCTTTGGCTTAAAAAAGTCGCCGATTTCACACAAATTAGTTGTTTTTACTCATATTTCTACTAAAATAGTCGCCATAAGTGCTATTGCTTCAAAATAGTCGTTTTAGTCACCTTTTTAGTCTCCAATGGCAGCCCTGTACATATTTCTTTTTCAAATTTAGCTTTGTTTCTTAATCTGAAAAATTTTCATGGTCTTTAACTGATGCATGTTTGCATTAAATTGATATATGTTAGACTGCCAAGAAAGAGTTAGAAAACTTGCAGTTTTGAATGTATTTTTTGGTAGTGTTTTATTTAATTAATAGTTAAATAAATAGAACACTAAAGAGAAATCTACACTCAAAAATTAACAAAAATATCAGAAATTTATGGTTTGGGAATGAAGATCTTGTCACTTTTGAGTGAGGTACATTTTAGTAATCAAATGTCAGATTTTCCTCATGCGTAATTCTAAAATTGCTTAGTTTTCAATTATAAACAAAATCCCTTCTTAAAATCTGCAGACAAATGCTGAAAATAACAATGCAGATGCAATTTAGTAAAATCTCATTTATGTTTGATTAATTTCATGACAATGATAATAATATGGAGTGTTTTTAAATCAATGGATGGTAGTTACTTTTACATTTTTCAAGTTAATAATTTACTGATTTTTATTAACTATCTTAAGAGACAAAAACAACAAAAAAAAGAAAAATCCTTTTCTCTTCAGCATTTTTACTCAACATTATGCACATATTCATAAACTGCAAGGTACCTATAACAAATAATACCTAACTAAACTATCAGTGTTTTTCAGAAATCATAGCAACTTACCTTGATAAGGTTTTACAACAGAATGTTCACGCTTAAAGTAATCATTAGTATTCCAAACAGCTAGGGATTTTCTGACATTTATAAAAAATAAAACAAGACTAAAACATAGAATTTCCCACAAATGTCTCATAACGCCGGCTAAAATTGACAGATGAAGGAACAGAGTTTTAGCAAGAAAATATTTTTTTACAAAAATGATTGGTTCAAAGCACTAGTTTGAGAAAATAGAAATAATAGATCAAATTTTACGATTTAGAATTATATATTTACAAATTAAACAGATTTCACAATAACAATTACAAATCTCACTATTTGGGTGTTTGAAATATCGCTTTTAACTGTCTATTTCTGCCCAATGAAAATGTTCTCTAAAAAACAAGAATTTCCAAGGATCATGGTTAGAAATTCAAACAAATAACTTCCACTTCTATTTTTTCTATTTTGTTTTATATTTCTGCTCAGGAGGTTTATTAGTTTTGGAATTTAATGTCACAGCAAATTACTTCTTGCAGGTTACTCGAGGTAAAAACTATGCGTTGCTCCTTTTGTCATCTTTTTTGCAAAGATATTTATGGATTGATTCTCTAAAAGGCTATTTACTTTGTGCTAAACCGCATATTTTTTCAAAAGTTAATAAAGTATGTATCGCGTACACAAGCAAATTTACATCGCTTATAAATTTTCTTAAACTTAATTCTTAACTTTCAATTATTTTTAAATTGTTTTTCGAACTCGTAAATGATGATTTAAATGCATTATAAAAGTTCAAATTTTATATTACGAATTTAGATACGTTCTAGTTCTAATTTTCTGTCAAGCGTTTTGAGTTGTTTAATTTCCAAATACATTTGAAATGAATGCATTGAAATGGTCGTAAAACTAGCAATGAAAATTAGCTTTGCTGGTTACTTTAAAAACATAATTTTTTTTTTTTAAATGATTATGCATTATAGACTTCCAAGTTTTATTGTTTTTTTTTTTTTAGGAATTTCACAATTATTTTACGATTCCGTTTTCTTCTAAACTAAGGTATGATATGTACTTAATATATTTCTAAATATTTGTGAGTACTTTTTCAATTCTTAAAAAATTTTCAAACTGTGGATTTTTTTATGTACATAACTTGTTATAGATAGTAAATTTTTTTTTTGTGTGTGCTTATAGATGGTGTTTTGAATACAAATGTAAATAAAAGCAAATTTACAGCTTTTTACCATCGCGACTTCTGATTAGAAAGTTTTCAGCTGTTTATTACAGCTTATTGTGCAAGACAATTTTTGAAACGGATTATTTAGTTTTCATTTAAATAAGTAAATAATATTATTACTGAGCTCAGGGAGATTTCTGTATTCTGATCTGTAGCAGAATAATCGCCAATTCTTGGCAACTTCTGGGCAGCAGCCGACGAGAAACTGAAAAAAATCACAGAAAGGGACCAACTCAAAATTTATAACTCGTAGCCACCCCCGGGTAATCATCTACATGTTTTTATAAAAAAAATTTCACATTTATTATCTGTTTGGCACCTTGGCAATTTGAGTTGGTGCAGCAGATCCCAATACAGAAATGCCCCCCCCCCAAAGCTCAAATCTACTATATATATCTGCATTTTATATGGTATTAACGTTATTAAGGAATTTGAAGGAAAAAATTTATTATTTATAAATATTTAAATTGTGCTTTCTACACTAGGGTGCACGGCAAACTCTTTACTGCCTATACTTCGGAGTTACTATTTCCGTTATATATTACTATTCCGTTATATATTATATTCCGTTACTCGCAACGTGATCACTGTGCTTTGGACTTTCTTGCATAGTATTTCTTGTGTATTTGTTACCTGATGTATTATTTATGTTCAAAAGAAGAATCGTCATTGAAAGATTTGTCATTTCAAGTTGTAAGAATCCTCATTTCAGAAAAAGAATAGTTATAAAACACATCAGTTCTTAAGAAATTGTATTTCAAAGAAGACAGATGTTTGAAATTCAATTTCTCAGGAGCTATTCTACAGATTTTACTGAAACTTTGTATTTTGCCATGTAAAAACAATGTGTAAACAAGTTTGCCCTGTAAAACAAACATTACGTTCAGAAATTTCAATCAAAATTTTTTTGACTAATATTAAATAAAATTATAAAAATGATTAATATATATTAAAAATAATTTTTTTGCATGGAATTATCTTTGGATAAGATTAAGTTCTAGAACAAGAAGATCCGATCAATAGATCAAATGTTATTCATGGCGGTCTGTTTTTTTATTTTGCACTCTGTACACTTAGATTTGCAGTTGCATAGTTAGACTGTGAATACTTTTGTAAAAACTTGTAAGAGAAATTTTTTAAGCTGAAAAAGTAATTTAAAAATTTTCTTTTACTCTTTTATTAATATATTTTTAGAATTTCATCAAAAGTTGACTATTTATTATACTGATTTTGATATTAACTTTTGCTCTGTATACTTAATTAACCAGCATTAGACATAAAGAAACACGTCTCCCCAGAACTCTTGTAGACATATGTTGGTGGGACTTGTGTGGACGTATTCACACTGATACCATTCAACTTTAAATGGAAGAAATATGAATTGGTTTCAAATTTAAAGTAAATACATTTCATGCTTTTTATTTTCTAAGTTAGAATGATTTTGTTGAATTATATACATTTACAATTAGGGAGTTCAATGTCAGGTAGAAAAAATTTAGTCCAAAATTTTTGTATCGAAAATTTAAAGGAGATGTTTTATTAAGTTTGCTAAAAAGAATATGACTTAATATAGATGAATTAAGGAAGTCTTACATTAAGCTAAAACATAATATCAGTGAATGGTACAGCCTTCTCTTTTGCAAGTTACTAAGTGATGCAGACCGTGTATATGATATCTCTAAGTGACACGTTAGTGTCCATTAGAAAAATTTCATGACGCCTAGTGGCTGAGTGGTAGCGCTTCGCACTCCAGTGTCACAGGTCCTGGGTTCGATCCTCAAGACGGGCAAGGTTGATTCAGCCTTTCATCCTTTCAGTGGGTCGATAAATGAGTACCAAGCATGCTTGGGAACTAAACACTGGAGGTTCCGCGTTCGGCTGACCACCAGTCCGGAACATCTGCTCCTGCACCCCGGAGCCCAACGTCAAGAAAACTGAGATGGGCACAGTAGCCTTGGCCCTTTATGGGCTGTTGCCCCGCTGAGTTTTAGTTTAGTTTTAGGAAAATTTCATCAAGTTAAAACTATGGTTATTAAAATTGATTGAACTTAAAATTGGTTCTGTATTTTCAAATCAATCAAATTAAATAATGATTTTCAAATGTATTAATTTGCTTTTAAAATGTCTTTTTTAGTACAATGAAATGCTCTATTACAAATTCGCATTTCAATAAATAATTGTCAATATTGATTCTCTAATAAGGCTTAGATTGAAATTGATTTTATTTTGGTTTTTTTGTTATACCTTCCTGTTTGTCCACGCTAGCCCCATAGATTGTCCACATTAGCTCTGTGTAGTATGGACAAAAGCAGCCTTTTTTTTAAAAGAAGTATTATGATAATAAACAAATTTGTTTTTTCAAATATAGTCCAGAATGCTGGGTGATTGCTTAAATTATTATTAAAGAAAAATATTTCACAACTTAAAAATTATATTAAATATAGGTTTTTGACAACTTTATAAAAAATGTTCACCTTCTCCCCTATTATGCCTGATATATTTTTACTATTTATGCATTCCATTTTTTCTGAATATTGATACATCAACATCTTATTAAAATTAAAAAACAAAAAAATACAAGAGAATTTTCAAATTTAATTCAGGTAACACATAAAATATATTCTGCAGTGTTTGCGTGACACTCTTAAGTGTGGTAAATTGTGCAATCGGTTTTTGGTTATTTCTATTAATAATGACAACTTCTGCAATGAGTTTTTGGATATTTTTTCTGTACTGCAACTTCTGCGACAAATGTTTGCTCATTACTGTTACTGTGTAAGAAATTTGAAACCACATATTTTCCTATTTAATAATAAATTAATTTGAATTGTCTGATTAAATTTGAATTCTGTTAGGCCGTGACATTAAAATATCTGTCCAATAATTGATTATCAATTAAATACTACTATAATAGGTTTATTACATACATCATTAAATCTTGTCTTTTCCTTCTTAGTCAGTCTTGTATTTATATAAAAAAGCCATTTGAATATTTATGAATGGATTTAGGATCATTGCATCAGGTTAATTATTTTTTTAAAATAATTTGTATGCCCCTTTTGGATGTTGTTCTTAAAAAAGGAAAAAAAAATTTAGAACCCCCCTTTTTTTTTAGTTTTTTTTTTTATAAGGTACATGCATTTTTAAAACTCAATTTATTTTTCAATTCAAAAATTATTTTTTTATTCTTTAGCTATAACTATGTGTGTACTTATCTAAAAGTGACTACCATTTTTTATGACTTAGCTAGCCAGTAGTTACTATTCATAATTGCTAGTCTTAAACTGGAGCTTTTGTACTAATATAGAACATTAATTTAAATTTCATATCTTTAATAGTTGATGCCTTTATTTTTAGATTCTAGTCCTCCCGGCATTATAAATCCTTTTAGACGACATAACTGATCACTATACTTTTATTATATATTATTTTTATAACCTAGCTTCTTTATCTTGCTTCTTTATGAAAGATAATTTCAAGAAGCAAGATTATTCTCTAGTTTTCTTCAGTGATAAGTTCAGATTTTCTAAAAGCAAAAAATTTTGAATTAAAGATGAAATTTTAATGTTGAGGTTAATTAAAAGGTCTGGGTTAATATACAGTATATAGTTTAATGTATACATATTTTAACTTGTCTATGATCAAATTGAAAAAAAAAATCAATTGTCATTATTTATTTATCTAATGCAAAGCTGGTGTCTGTAATGAAGAATTTAAAAATGTTAGTTACATTTATTTTAACATCAGAATAAACTTAATTCTCTCTTTTTTTCCCCTTAGAATTTCATCTGTATTTGCTTATGGATTACTTTTGGGAGAATATCCTAGCTTATCAGAGTTACTGCATTGATTTAATACCAGGTGCCTAAAGAAATTATCATAAAGATCTGTAACAATAATGTATTACAAGTTTCTTCTTTTAATACCTTGATATTTTCTTGCTCTTTATCATTTTGGTGGAATTAGTTTGGTGAGTAGATGTAAAAATCTCTAGATAATATATTGTAAGATAGCAATTCTTAAATTCAACAGTTTATTTATATTAATCTGATGAAGAATAAAGAAAGAAATCTGTTAATTATTTGAGAGTGTTCAATATCAGTTTATTAATGTTAAAGGCTTGAAATGAAGTTCTTAAAATGTTTAGTCCTTGATAGAAAATCATTAGAGGTTTTTATGTTTGAATATTCTTAATACTCATAGAGTTGATATTCCATAAGCATAACTTGAATTCAAATTAAATTGTACATGAGAAGACCCTAAGCTTGAATTCTAATCAAATTGTATGTAAGAGGTCTCTAATGTCTGTAAAATGTTGTTAAAATATATCTTTTTATGTGGTGTAGGATACCCCCACCCGTNCCCCCCCCCGTATTTTTTTTTTTTGTTGTTAAAATGTAATAATTTCCATCCATTTTGAAGTTTTTTAATAAATGCAAAATCTCTTGAAATTTTGTAAATCGATCTTTCAAATTAAATGCAAATAAAAAAGGGGAAAAAAAGAAAGTATATGTATTGTATTGTTAGTAATATCGATTTTTTGTTTTAGCATTAAATTATTTTATAGATTTAAATTAAATGAAAAAAAAAACTTTAAAAAGCTTAAGAATTTTTAATTAAATGTAGTTAGAAACTAAAGTTCCTATAACACATTATTATTATTAATTTTTTTAATTAAAATTCATTATTATTATTTTTTTTTTTAAATTGTACATAATGCATTGGAATTTTTAGTGCACCCCCTCTGAAAAATTTTTCCACTGATCTTTTTAGAATTTGTTTGATAAAATAAGTCTTGAAAATTTTCAAGATAGTAGATTAGTATGCCTCTTTAAATTGTTAGTCAATTCTAGAATAAAGTGTTTCAGGTAATTTTTATTTTGAAAAGGACTTGAAACTTTACTCTGACTTTATAATTGAATTCTGTAGCTTTTAGCTACAAGCATAAAGTGTTATAATTATATGGTAATCTTTAAATAATATTTCAAAATGATTATAGTCAGACTTTCATCTGGAGAGAATGGTTTCAATAGTCTAATGGTTTTAATCTTATATTCCAATAATGGTTTGAAACTCATATTCTGAAACTTATAGTTTAGCTGTTGGTTTATGAAAAAAAATTTCAGTTATAATTTTTTGAATTTCTATGTTTAAATTAATTCAGAATCTCATAATTAAAGATTCTTTATAAATTTAAATTATAATATGAATTTGTAATTGATAGAATAATTAAGAAATCTCCTAAAACCTATAGAGCTTTGAATTTAGCATCAATTATTTATAGATGCTAATAAAAACAGTGTTCAATTTAAAAATTACCACAATCTGAACATCCAATTAAAATTTTATGCTTAAATTTTTTAAAAAAATGTAATTTTGTTATGATATTTTATTAGAATATTTTTTTAATTCAATCTGTTTTGTAAAGGGTTAACTCATATCTCTTATCACATGCTATCTCATATAATCAGCAGTTTTATTTCTATGGTTCTGATCTAACTTAAAATATATTTATTTCTTATTTCAGAATTTTTCTTACTTGAAAATTAGTCGAAAGACAAAGGAATGTTTCAATCTTTTGCCATGAATTCAAAATTCAGATTTTATCTGATCTTGGTTGCCAGCACTAGTGTAATATTTGTGCTTCTATATAAAACTCTTTCTAGTGAAGATCAAGACTCAGAATCTCATTCTAAGTATGTGCATACTGATTATAAAGCTCCCCATTTAAGATCTTCTAAAAGTGGTTCATTGGTTAATATAAATGATCTTCTCCCAGTTACTCAGTCTTTGAAGCATTTAGAGAGACAACGTCTTAAGGAAGCTCAGGTGCATGCAAACATAAAAAATTCTGCTTATCGGTCTGGAATATTCAATTTTAATACAGCAGATAATTTAGGGGGAGAGGAAGTAGAGATTGATCATCCAGCAAGATCTGTTAATGAGCGAGTGAGTAAAGGCTCAAAAACTATGAAACCTGAAGAACTTATAAATATCAATAGAAAGTTTGTGCATTTAGACCTGAAAGGTGCTCCTCCAATAGTAAATTATTATAAAAACTTTTTCCCGCTTTTGCATTCATTAGGTGCCAATGGTCTTCTTATAGAATATGAAGACATGTTTCCTTTCCATGGTCCATTAGAACAACTCTCTGCTCGAAATGCATATTCTAAAAATGAACTTAATGAGATATTGTACATTGCAAAATTGAATGAATTGGAGGTAATTCCTTTAATACAAACATTTGGACACATGGAATTTGTTTTGAAACTGCAGGCATATCAAGACTTGCGAGAAGTTCCTGTTTATCCACAAGTTATTTGCCCTTCTAACAATAAGACCCAGATACTTTTAAGACAAATTGTTGACCAAGTTGTTGCTCTTCATCCTCACATCAAGTGGTTGCATATTGGGTCTGATGAAGTGTATTATATTGGTGAATGCTCTCTATGCCAACATAAAATGCGAAAACATTTCATGGATAAGGAAGATCTATTCATTTACCATGTAAAAAACATTGCAAAGTATATCAAAGAAAAATATAATATTCAGCCAATTATGTGGGATGATATGTTTCGCATGGTACCTGATGAAATTATAAGAAAGTCTGAAATTTGGAAATATGTAGAACTAATGGCATGGCAATATAGTCCTTCTGTTGAGGCAAAAATTCAACCTGATGCCTGGATAAAGTATGGTAAATATTTTACTGGTGTTTGGGCTGCAAGTGCTTTTAAAGGTGCTACTGGAGCAAATCAGTATTTGACTAATATATCTTATCATCTGGAAAACCATGTCTCTTGGATTGATGTGCTTTCCAAATACCAGCATGATGTACCATTCAAAGGTTTTGTTCTAACTGGCTGGCAACGTTATGACCATTTTGCAGTTCTTTGTGAACTTTTGCCTGTTTCCATCCCATCTCTTGCTGTAAATTTAATATACTTAGAGAAACAAGTTGTAGACAACAATTTATTCCAAAAGGTTCGAGATATTTTGATGTGTGATTCTCGTCTAACTCTTCAGGCAAATTATACTGTTGATGAAACTCTCTGCAATTATCCCGGAAGTAATGTTTTTAAAGGAGCTCAACGATTAGCCCATGTTTCCTACATGCTGCAGAAATTTTTATCTAATAGCCATTTTATAGGATGGATGCATGAATATAATATTCAGATGTTGTTCTCTAGCCCAGCTCATGTTGAACTTGCTACTCAAAATTTGGAAGCCCTTTCTACTAATGTTACTTTGCTTCACACTTTCATTCAAAATACGATGCCTGAAGTTTATGATAAACATACAATTGATGAGTGGTTAATGACCTTTGTAAAACCTCTTGTGAACCAAATTGAAAAAATTCGTACGCAAGCTAATAATTTGTTAAAGTTTAGGTCCTGGCCTAGAAGGCCATTAAGTAAATAAATATATTTGTATATAAGTTTAGGTAACTTAGAAGAAACTGGTTATTGTACCTTTTCTATGAATGTTATTTATATCTGCAATTGAAGTATAATTATGTCTTGATGAAACTAAATTATCAATAAGATAATTAAATATTTTTGGTTAATAAATTAAGAAAAATAATCTCTCAATTATCACAATATTTCATAAAATTATATTTTATTGGTGATTTAAGAAAAGGTATATGACATGGTATATTATCTGATTTGAATATATTGCAATGTTTAACAGATTTTAGTGACAAATACTATTTTGTTTTGCATTTGACCAAAGTTCATTTAAGAATGTTTTTTTTTTTTTAAAAGAAATCTATTTGAAGAATTTTTTAGTTAGATTTATGTTTTGCAAATTTTATTTACTCTCAAATTATGTTAGAGTTTGTTTTTCTATATGCATATTTTAACGCTTCTTTTGTGATATATTTTTGCTGTTATTGTACTTGTTACTCTTTTCTGATAGTTATTACTACTATTTTGGGTCTTATATGATATTCTGGATGGGTATTCTTTTTGTAGTTTTAATAAAAGATGTTTAAAATATTTTAATAAGAGTAGAATAAACTTTGATTTTTTGGTTTTAAGTTTTGGAGATACAGATCTTAAGTGAAATCAAGAATCAATTAAAAACTTAAAAATTTCAAGCAAATGCTATATGCCACAATTTATACTGAATTTATTTACAATATACTTAATTTTGTGTTGTTTTTTGTGAAGGACTAAAAGTGATATTTACACAGGATTTACAAAGAGGATCTTGGAGGTCCAGGCAATTTTTAATAATGTTGAATATAATGACATAGAATTATAATTTGCCAACTATTATTTGTCATAAGACCTCTTTGTGATGCCAAATTCTTCTAAAATGTAAATATTTTCACTTGTATATATCATGCAAAATAGTTTAACTCATTTTATTCATTTTTTTTTTAGAGTTTAATCATGAAATTAATCATCAGAATTGTTATAATTTGATTTGAATTTTATTTTTATGCTCCAAAAAATTACCGTGGTCAACTGACACTATTAGTAATGTGGCAACATATAAATATTTGATTGCTAATACACTTCATTACTTTTAGAATACAATTTTTTTATGTGTCAATCACAAGTTTGGTATTTATTCCTATTTGAAAATCATTCCAGTATAACAAATATTCAAATAAATAATGGACCTTTTTGCTGTTGTTTCTCTTTTTATTTATCATAGTTTAGTTTTCATAAGTTTTCATACGTTTCTTTAAATTATAATTTGATAATAAATAACATAAAGCTAAAATTTTTGACTGACTATATATTTGTAGTATTATTGTAATGATATTAATATTTTTATATAAGTTATCCTCTTAAGTAATAAAAAAGAAAAATAATAAATTTTTTTTCAACTCCCAATTTCAAGATAGAACTTAAAATTTTTTTTAATGCTGCTTTAATGATTTTATATGTTAGTAAATGTTAAAGTAATTTTAATTTTCTTAAGTAAAGTTTGCTGATTAAAAATCTTTGTTTACTATTTCAACATTTATATGTATATATTGTAAATTATCCTTTATGATTATTTTATTGATTTAAAAATTTTAAATTATCTAAAAAGTATGCATGGAAACTAAAGATTTTTTACAAATTTTAGTTTATCAAAAGTATCTTTTAGTTCTTTATCACTCATATCGTTACAAGGATGTGTGAATTAATTATATAAACTAAAACTTTGACACTATGATTAAAACAATTTTGTTTCAAATGTATTATAATATGTTTTATTTCTATATCAATTGAATTATTTGTTTCAGAATTCTTTAAAAAGCCTTGGGGGTGGAATTTGTTGAAATATTAATATACCTTTAAAATAGCTTTGCATGTTACAAAATCAATTGATATCTCACTATTTCTAGGTTTTAAATGTCTTGATTATTGTTAATCACTATTAAGTATGATGTTGCTATTAGGTTGATGCAAAATTAATGTATTTATTTGAAACTCTAGCACAAATATACACATCTTACCTCTTTCTAGCCAAGCATATTTTTTAAAAAAATAATCAGAATGTACACAATTTGTTTAATTTCAATGAACTAGGTAATAAATAAATTATCAGTTATATTTAGTAAGAGATTTGGTATTTTTTATAGACATATTAGTATTGAACAATTTTATTTATGTGAGAGGTGAAAGTAGATTGTTTAAATGAAAAGAAATTCTTGGGGATAAAACATTAAACTAAGTGCGATGACATATTTGCAAGATTAATTTACAGATTATGGGATTCGAAAGACCATCCTTTCTACTAAATATATTGGGGGAAAAAACATTTCTTTCTACTGAGTAATAAAAATCCTTTATTTATCGAAGCTTAGAAGTTACGTTGGTATGTAACAAAATTGTAAACTTTGAAAAAAAGTAGACTTAGAAGTACTTCATATCCATTTAATGACACAATTGTAAAAGAGTCATGACATGTTTTTTAGAGTTCCATAGTGCTGTTAGTATCATAAAAAAATTCAACACATTCATCTTTTAGCTAATTAAGAGGTTGAATTTTTTTCAGAGTTTAACTATATACAATATAATTACTTCTAGTGTTAATATAATCAGACTAATGATTATGTGGTATATCTGAAAATATATTTTAACTTATACATCTATCCTTCTTATACATATATCCTTCTTATACATATATCCTTTTTAAATATAGGATTCTCTTTTGTCATTTGATGGATATGAAAAACTTTATTGGAAATTTATATTTTCGATTCTTTAATTTTGCTGCCAAGTTGTTATGTTGGCATGTATCTGCAAACAATGTCTTACTTACATGTTCTTTTCCTCCTAATAACACCAAAATTATTTGAATGTGGATATTTTTAAAAATTAACAAAATTTTCTTGGTCTAGGACAGTGTTTTAGTTAATATGACACAAAAAGACATAAGAGAAGCTTATTATTTTTACCATTATCCTGTGAGTTAGAGCAATATATTAGATGATGTCTGTTTTTAAGGTAAGTAGGTTAAGAATATTGTGCTGAAACTCTGATTTTATAGAAACTTTGGAGGGCGAAAACAAAATTAAGCATAACAAGATTTTTTTTTATATTCAACGTTTTTGTTCTCTACCTATTTGTACTAGCTTTCAAATTAGTAATCATATAGCTGAATAAATATATCAACATGATATTCATTATTGCAAAAATTTCTGAAATGCTAGATGGAGTGAATAAATAACATTCAGGAAGGAGAGTAAAAAAGAAGAAATCGATTATATTTGGTTAGAATTAAATGTTATTGAAATGTATTATATAAATAAGAAGTTACATAACAAAGTTAGTTTTTATACTCCCAATCAAAATTGTTTTTATTTAAAATAAGTTAATCTTATACACTGTGTAAAAGAAAATAATATTAAAGTTGAAATTATAATATGAAAGCAGATGTGAAAGGGGCATAATTTTAAAGTAACATTTTGCAGGATGTGCATTTGTTAGTAATGCTCAATAATTCTGATTATAATTTACATCTTCAATTATAATTCATGTTTAATATTACCTTATTAACACCACTCAATACTTCTGATGTCTACTTAAAAAAGGTTGATGTAGATACAGTGTTGTGAGTAAAAAATTTTTTTGACAGATTTAATTTTTTTTTTTTACAGTATAGACATGTGTAGAAAAATATTCAGGCATGTATAAGTTTCATTAAGGCATGTATTTCATAGACTAACATGCTTAGCAGAGCATGTTATTCTATAAAGATTTTTACATGCCCAACAAGGAATGAAAACATTTTGGATTTTGCATACTCTAAATGATTGGCATTTATTTCTTATTACTTAATATTTGTTTTGTTAAATAATTTGCTGTTTCTTTTCTAAATTTGCTTATATTTTTATGTGAGGACTTTTTTAAATAGGCAAATAACAACATAGAGAATTTATGAAAACATGTTTTCACGTTGAAAGTTACTAGTTTCTTTTTCCCTTCAGCTTGCAGCCAAAATAATTTCTTTTCACTTTTTCTAAAATAAAGCATTTAAACGTTTTGTTGATAAAGTTTAACAATGCGAGCTGAAGACATGTATATTTTATTTTCAAAATGAACGTTTTTTGGAAAAAGGCAAAAGAACCTTTCTAATTATGCATCTTCATAAACATCCATGTGCCAGTTATGATTAAGTGTTTAAAATGTAAGGCTAGTTTGAGTTTCAGTCTGACTTGATTGTATTGTTTCTATTAATCTTCTTTTTTACTTATTAGGTTTATTTAATTAACTTTCATTAAAAGTTTTTGTGTAGAGTTGCATAAAGTCATCAAGTTTACGTATTTTTCTTATTCTTTTAAAATATACCTTTTTTGTTTTAACTTGTTATTAAATTTTACTAACACTAATAGTTTATTTGAAATATAATTTAATTTTGCTCTTGTATTTCATTACTTTATCTATACATATTTTTAATGTGCTAAATTCTCAGTTATTTTCTTTAAAGACAGAAAAGATTTTTTTATCATCTAATTTTTGTTGTGCAACAATAATTAAAGATCCAACGTTATGTTTCTTCAAATATATCATTTATGCAATTGGTTAAAAATGGTCTGCAAAAAAACGACTTTTCTTTATTCTGTATTCCTATATTTATTAAATCAAATAATACTTATAAAAATGCTTGTAAAGTAATCTTTTTTGACTTAGAACTATTGACACTTGTAAAACTTCGAACAAAAATTTTGTGCAAGAATAATAAATGTTTATCTAGGATTCATGCTTGTGCTGTTGATTTCTATTTAATTTAATTTATGAATATGAGTTATCTATTGTTATAGTAAATATGTAGTTACATTATATAAAAATGTTCCAGGAGTTCCCTTGTGTTCTGGATTGGGTATAAAATTACAAGGCTACAGAGTTGAACATTAGTAGTTGTAAACCAATAAAATTGGGTCAGCTCTTCAACGACGGTTATAAAAAAATAAATAAAGAAGAGGTTCTTTTAATATAATCTTAGAAAAGTCTTTATTAATGTGTTATTTTTGATCCTGAATTTTCCCCAAATTGAAACTTTCTCTTATCAAATAATATTTTATATTATATAGTTTTTCAAAAATTTTGTAAAAGAATTTAATTTTAATTTTTTTTATTTATTATCTTTTTAAAAAATTATTTCTGACATCTTAAAAAGTATAAAATAGTATCTTGAAATGATTTTTCTGTTAAATTTTTACTTTGGAGGAGTTACTGTGAGCAGGTGGCACATTGAAATTTTTCAACTTCAATTGGGTTCTATTAGTACATGATATATATTTTACAACTATGTTCAAAAGTCTTAACATTCATCTATTTCAATTTTTTTTATGGTGTTATAGATAATTGAATTTTTTACTTTTTAGCAGACGAATATATAAATAATATTAATGAATTGAAGCTGTATTTTCATTTCATTGATACAGAGAATAAATTTACTTAATTTTATAAGTTTTTTAAAATTTATTTTTCATTAGAAAATCCTATTTTACATTATAGAGAATACTTTTAGCTACATTAAAATTGGAGGAATAGTTCTTGTTTGGAATATGGTGGTGACATAAATATCGTTTCCTAGGAAATTGGAATTTGAAGCTTTGTATATGTTTCATGTGACATGAAACTCTATTAATTGTTGTAGCCCCCATAATATTTTTAAATTTAGACTACTTCAATTCAATATTTTACAGACTACTAGTTTTAGTGAATCGTATTGTGAATAAAAATAATTATCATGAATGATTGTAAATAGTTTTATGTTTTGAAAACTTTTACATCTTATAATATTGTATGTTTTGTGGTGGGAAATAATAGTTATAAAACGCTAGAGAGAAATAGTTTGTGATGATACTTTCAATATTCAATGCATACTTTTTTAATAATTGACAACATGCAATTTTTTATTAGCATTTAACACATTTTCACAGTTTGTTTATACTATGATTTAGGTTTATAATCATTTTTATGACCTTTAATGAACTCTTTACCCTGGTTTCAATTAATGTTATGTATTTAGTACCACTAAACATATAATTCTCTCTATATATATTTTTACCTTCAAAAATGTATATAACACTTTCAAGTACTTTTCATTTATGCTTTTGGATTTGTTATAAGTAATCTATGAATTTAAATAGTAGCTTTAGTATTTCATTATACTTTTAGATTTATAGGGATTAAAAAAAGTAATAATAAAACACTATTCAAAAGAAATCAATCATCTTTATTGGGTGATAGCTTTAAATAAAAAGAAGTAATAGAAGATTTGAAAATATATACATATGTAATGAACAGGGCCTTGCATATCAACATTCAAAAAAATACTAATTTAAAATATATTTTTCATATATTTTATAGATTGTTATTATTAAATGTCTGATTCTTTATCTTACCAATGGCTGTATTCATAGAAAAATGACATACATAGTTTTCAGAAGAATTGTCTCAAAATGTTTTCTGGGAAATGGAACTTATATGGAAAGAAATAATTATTTTTAAAGCTGTTGTCTCTTAATGTTGAATATGGAGAAACTTTCACATTAATATATATTTTTTTAAGAAAAATGGTAAAAATGACTTACATTTTTTCACACCTTACAATTTAATGATATCGAATTATTGTTTCTTTAAAATAGTAGTTTTTTTTTTAAAGTTTGTATTTAAAAAAAAGAGAATAATTAGGTATTAAAAACCTGTATTAATAGAATTGTTTTCTTAATGTTTTGTGTTCCTTTTTCTCATTTAAAAGCGCCAGTTTCAACAATATCAATACTTTTTAAAGTAATTTTTGAGAACCAAATTATTTTACAGTAGTAGATTGTAAATTACGCTAAGTTATGCATAGTTTTTAAAAAAAAAATGAAGATATTATTTAAATTGTTCTTCACCACTTAATAAAAAATGAAGCCACTCTACCACGTTTATATAAATCACTTCTAATTTAATTTAAAGCTATTGCACCCTCTGCTTATTTTTGCTGCCAAACAGAGTGCACCATAGTTCGAAAAATACTACACTTTATAGACTTTAAGGTTTTGTATTGTAAAATGATCAGTTCAACTATACAAACAAGAATAATATAATTGCAGATTTTTTATTTATTTATTATTTTTTTTTACCTGAAAAATGAGAACAGCTGTATTTCAGATCACAACAGCTTTATATTTAAACTTAAGTGACATAAAATATTGATTTCAACTCATCCTCATAAAATAATTCTCCGAAATAAATTGGAAACAGTCACCTTCAAATTCAGAACCTCTTCTATCAATGCAGCCATATAAATAAAAAACTGGGATAGTTAGATATGAAAATAAAATAAATATTTTTATTTCGCATCCATCATTTTAATTTCGCCAAAACATCAATTATGCCTTTTATTTATTAATTTATTTGCTGACAAACTGAAAAAAAGTGATTTGAACACATTAATGGTTATAAAAAAATTTTTCAAGAAAATTAGTAAAAAATCAATATTGCTACTATACACATACTTAAATTTAAAATACAAATATATCAATTTAAGGTTTATAGAATTAAAAACGTTTATTCTATAATGTTTTCTGTTTGATTTAAATTGGTTACTTGTAAGTCGTATTTTTTTAATATACATAAAATTTGGTAAGCAGTAGGTTTGCCACAATTGTACATAGAGAAATCTATTAAAGCAAATAAAAATGAGTCTCATTACAACTAAACATTAATAACATGATTAAATAAATATTTACATAATTCAGCAGTCACAATTTCGTTTGCTGTAAAAACGACACTAGTCGCGAAATTATGCTGATAATTAATTTTTAATTATTGGCATTAATTTTATTATAAAACTGAATAGTTAAAATTGATCATTAATTTTCTTTTACTTCTATTTTAATGTCTTTTAATTAGAGTTTTAGGTTATTTTACGTTAGGTAATTGATGACACGAGTCTTAATTTTTTTTAAAAAAGTAACTTAATAACTGGAAAGACAGAATAATACAGCACAATTTAAAATGCTTATGGTCCTAAAATACTTGTCATATTCTATCTATAAAATAGATAAATGCTTTTTCTAGCTATTTCTCTAATAACTGATTCATTTTCAATTAAAAGGAACTTTTAAGAGTGTATTGCTTAAACTCTGAATAATTGTAATTTTAAAGTAATTTTGTTGCGCTTTCTAGGAATAAGTACTCTTTTTAGGTAGAACAAATTGGCTGCTACAAACCTAATTTATTTTTAAAAAATTGTTTTTTTCCCCTAGAAATTTCATTTATTTTCTATTTATGATTTATTAATTTATACCGTTGTTTATTAGTATCATTTAATTTATTATTTAGTTTTGGATTGAAAAAAAAAAAACTTCCTGTGAAAACAAAACGACAGACTAAACAAGAATATCAATTAAATAATTTGAAATCTTTGAGTTATTTTCAATTAAATAAAAGATCTTTGTAATATAAAAGTAAATAACATAGAGTGACTCTGCAATTTGTAGTTGTTCTTACAACTGTTGCTCTATCTGCTCTTGAGAAGTTTGATTTCACTAATTCGAAATATTTCCCTTCAGCAAGAGTCATACAATGAAGTCTTAAACACTTGACACGAACCAAGTCAATGGCTTTGCTTGAACGATCACTGAATCTCAGTGTATCAGCATCCCATCTGATTTCTAACCTTTCTAATCCGGAACAGTTGTTAGCTATTGATTCCATCAATGAATCCACGTGTATCTTTTGAGATATCTTTGGGCAGCAATCTTCTGGCATACCCATAATTAAAATTCTAAAAAGCAAAAAATGTTTCTTTTCCAAAATCTTAAAACATAAAAGCAAAATTTAGAACTATTGTTGAATATTTGCTAAAATATAAAGGGAATTTAGTACCAAAACATAGAGGGTTAAAGGTTTATACAGTGCACGAAGTAAAAATCGGACCACCCTGAATAACTTGCTTTAATGATCGGATCTTCACGTTCTACAGGACTTAAATTTTAAAGTATCAAGGGAGTAACTTCATATTTGCTAATTAATTAAGGCAGACGATACTTTAAGTTTCGAAATTAGATCCCTGTCCAAAATATAGGGGATAGTCGCAGTCTGGGAAATATGGTCCCTATTGTTTTTTCAAGAGAGCGGTCCAAAGTTAAGACCTCTTTTACTTTACTTTTTGCGTATTTCCTTATACCTCGAATAGTTTTCATGCGAATTGAGAACTTTTTGCGCGCAATTATAAAATTCCTTTATTCAAAGATAATTCCTTGAAAAATATAACTTTAAGTAAATATTATTATTAGTATTATTTTATTTAATGATAGTCGAAACACATTTTTGAATTGTAAGGTACGCAAATTTTTTATATAATTTTAAAGGAGGAAATTTGAAATGGCAAAATACAAAATTTGTGCGAAATCGGTAGTTCCTGAGAAGTCGAATTTTGCAGAAGTCCGAATCCGTCGAAAAATCGGTATGTTTATTCTGTATGTTCTCTGTGCTTTATTTCGTAACTTTAAATATCGTCTGCACTAATAAATTAGCATGCTTGAGGTTACCCCTCATACCTTTAGTATGAAAGGATTGAGTCCTAGAACGTGAAAATCTGATCATTTGATCAAAAGCTATTCAGGGTGGCCCATTTTTTATTTTGGGCACTGCACTTATAGCATTTCAATGTTAAATAAAAGGTAAATTTTAATAAAAAGAAAACGAGAAGGAAGAAAAAATTCTAGAGGAGAGTAGATCTAAGAAGGCTTGTTTTTTAGATAGTCTGAGTTGTTACAGAAGCAGTAGAAACAATACATTCTAAGTGATTTTTTTTGAAAAATTGAGGTATTAGGAAACTATATTTCACACTATATGTATTTGATCTTATAAAAACAATGACATAACTATACAATATTGATTTGTTTGAGTCATTAAAGTTCAGACATCTCAGTGGATGAAGGTACTAAGTGACAGTGTTTATGGAGTGGAAGGAGATTCCAAATGCATTTGGCAACAAACAGTCGATGGATAACCTTAAAAACTGTTGTTCAATTAAAAAACCAAGAATGCGATAGCTATAATGCGAATAGAGTTAGTGTTAAATTTAGCGAACAAGAAATAATTGCAAGTGGCATGTTATGCTATTATTTCCTTTTGTGGTCAAAGGAAAAACTTTAAAAGTGAATTTACTCAAATTCATCAAATTAGTAGAAACGAGAGAGAGGATGCTTCAAAAATTCAAAGGAAAACATTAATAAGCAATAAATTTTAAAGTTTCTGTTAGAGAATATTACTACAGTGTATCAATTCAATAAAGCCACCTCTATTTTGAGCTCTAACAGGATATAAAGAAAACCAACGAGAACTAAGCATGTATTTAAGTCTATATCAAAACTCATATTAATAAGGAGTTTGGTTAGGATAAGGTTTTTTGGTTTTCTTTGTGCCCAGTTATGGCCCAAAATCACGGTGTCTTTATTTAGGTGGGACACACTGCATTGACCACCTGATCGGAACATCTGCTCCTGCACCCCAGAGCCCAAGGTTAAGAAAACTGAGATGGGCACAGTAGGCCTTGGCCCTTTACGGGCTGTCGCGCCACTGAGTTTAGTTTTTTACACTGCATTTATGCATAAATAAAAAATTAAAAATACAAAGAAAGCAAGCAAAAAAAATTGAAAATTTTTACTAAGAATTTAGAAAAAATTTAAAAAGTCGGAAAGCAAAATGAGGAAAAGATATATGATCTTGGACTTAACCTCAGCTCACACAATTAGGTCCGCCAAAAAGTGCTTTCTAATATTGTATTTATGTATCCAAATATATCAATACAAAAGTGACAGTACGATACTCACATTATCAAATCAAAATTTATCAATATAATAGTGACAATACAATACTCACGCTATTGTATTGCTATATTTTGCTTTGGCTATATTAATACAATAATAGAAAGGACTTTTTTTTGCAGATATAACCGTGTAAACGGACAACGAGATTATTTTAAAAAGTCGGAAAACAAAATAAGGAAAAGATGTATGACCTTGGACTTAACGTCAGCTCGCACAATTATTTCCGCCAAAAAGTGCTTTCTAATATTGTATTTATGTATCCAAATATATCAATACAAAAGTGACAATACAATACTCACATTATCAAATCAATATAATAGTGACAATACAATACTGACACTATTGTATTGCTATATTTTGCTTTGGCTATATTAATACAGTAACAGAAAGGACTTTTTTTGCAGATATAACCGTGTGAACGGACGACGAGATTATATCTTTTCCTTATTTTGTTTTCCGACTTCTTAAATTTTTTAAAATAATTTATTTAGTAATTATTTTTCTCTTTAAAAATAATTTTTGTCTTGTTTTCTTTGTATTTTTAACTCATTTTATGGGCTTTATGTACTTGAAGCTTTTGCGCAGTAAATAAAACCTATTATTATTTCTTCTTAATTTTCTTCGTCTCTTTCTTCTTTTTAGTCTCTTTATTATATATATATATATAGTTTTAGGTTANTATAATATAGCACAATAAAAACAAAGAGAAAAACGAGGAAAATTAATAAGTTTTATTAGAAGTTTGCGGAAATAATCGTGTGGGCTGATGAAGAGATTATATCGTTTCTTTGTTTTGTTTTCCGAAATTTTAAATTTTTTTTTTTAGGATATCAAAAATTATATTTTTTTAAATACTTTTGAAAAATTAATTTTAATAAATTTCTTTTCATTATTTTTTATTATTTTCCATATTTTCTCAATATTTTTGCTTTTATATATATATATATATATATATATATACATATACACAGAGAGAGTTAATAAAGTTTCAAATGGAAGGGTAATTCTACTCTGGTTTAGTTAAAATTTTTCCACGACTTTTTATATTTTCTATATCTGAGGACACTTTATTTATTCGAAAGTTATAGCGAAAATAGCAAAGTGTCGAAAGTGGTTTAATAGATTCTTTCTGAAGAAAGTGAAATTGCTATTAAAGTCATGGTTATATACAGCTGTTCTTTGCAAATACGATTCTGAAACATTTCTTCATGTCTTTTCAGCTGTCACGTTCAGCTGTTTGTTATACTCGAAAAATCTGTTATTAAAATTCTGGAGCTTTGATCAGAAGGTCACGAAATGTAACGCATGTTTTATTTGTGGTGATAATGTGTTGGTGAAACTTAGTTTTTTTTTCTTTAAAAAAAAAGCATGTAATGTTTTTAATTTCAAAAAAGAGAAGTGTTTTTCTTTTCTTAATATGAGCACCAATTCAAGGGGAAAAAATTATTTTATTAGAAATGTCCGAGGAAAACTTTTGGAGAAAAAAATAGATATTTTTGTTTCCGATTTTTCTCACAAAGTAATAAATCTCCCTTAAACTGATTTTACTAGAAATAACTGAAGGAAACCTTTGGGAAAAAAAACACAAAGAGGTACTTTTTTTCTCGATATTTTGTCATAATGAGCAAATATTTTTTCTTCCTAAACTTATATTACAAGGAGTGTCTGAAAAAACTTTAGAAAGCAAAATATAAAGGTAACTTTTTTCACTCCCCCTCCCCCCATAAAACAACGATACCCCTTAACTAATTAAAATCGTAAGTACAGAGCAAAAAATAAAAAAACGGACAGCCCTGAATAAATTTTGAGCTAATAATCGGATCTTCGCGTTCTAGGATTCAATCTTAAAAGGTTCGAGGGGGGTGATTTCAAATATGCTAATCAATTTTAGAAAAACAGAAGCAAAAGCGTACCTTCATTGAAAAACTTGTTTTTTTTTCGGCGGATTCGTATTTTTAAATTTGATATTTATTATTTAAAATTGATTTTATTTATAATAGTATTTTGAGGTAACCCCCTCGTGTCATTAAGATTGAGTCCTAGAAAGTGAAGATCCAACCATTAGATTAAAAGTTATTTAGGTTGGCCTGTTTATTTATTTATTGGCACACTGTACATGTTTAACTAAAAAAGTCAAGATGTACATTTAAAAATATGTACTTTTTACTTGAATAGTGAGTAGAAACAATAAATATAAACGATGTTATCCTGAATAACTTTGATCATAATTTCACGTAATTATCAGAAACGGTTCTTAAGTTGATCGGATTAGTAGTATGATTTAAAATTGACATCAAGACTCATGATTCAAAGGGTTTATGTTAAATATGCTAATTAGGGCTGAACCATAGTGGCTTAGGTGATAGAGCGCTCGCCTCCGTTGAGGTGAACCAGGTTTGAATCCCAGCTTTGGCTGGTTGATACGAATTCTGCTCCCAGCTCTCACCGACTACAGTGCTAACGTAATATATCCTCAGTAGTAGACGGATCATAGGTTAAAATTCCATTGCTGTCTGGTTAAAAATGGAGGTTTTTGTGGTTTTGCTTTCCGTTTAACGCAAATGCGGTTCCTTCAAAAAATGCCCTCCACGAAGGCAAATTTCACCCAATATTTGTTCCAGGAGTTCCCTTATCTTCTGGATTGGGTTCAAAATTACACATCTATAGAGTTGAACATTGGTAGTCTTGTGTTCCTAGAGTACATATATATATATATAAATGCCTTTTTTTTTGTTTAAAAAAAATTCCTGGAATTTGATACTTTAAGTATACTGTTGTGCCAGCTGTAATTATATTCTGAGTTACAAGCATCTTATATTTAACCATGTGAAATTGTTTCCTTGTTTTTTTAACTTTGCACCCTAACTGAAGATGCGACATCAAAAACTCTTCTGATTGATACTGTTTATTTTCTTTATAATGTTTGTATTTAGTTCATTTCTAAGTAACGCTGTTTTCTGTTGTTGTTGTTAATTTACGTCACACTAGAGCTGCACAATGGGCTATTGGCGACGTTCTGGGAAACATCCCTAAGGATTATCCGAAGACATGCCATCACAATTTTGATCCTCTACGGAGAGGATGGCACCCCCGCATCGGTAGCCCGACGACCTGCGCGCGAAGCTGTTTTCTGGATTTCATATTTAATATTCTACCTATTTGTTAAAACTCTAATTTGAAAATTTTGAATATGTTTGCTTATGTGATTGAACTGTTGCGCGCATTTCGAACTTTCGGAGTTGTCCCGGATGCCCCCTTACGGGGGCGGGGAGGGTTGAGCTAGTTATTGGTAGTCGTAAACTCAAAATTGGGTCAGCTGTTCAACAAGGGTGATAATACCAGAGTTAGAGTTGAGGTGACTCAGGGGATTGATTGCTCGTCTCCCATTCAGGTAACTCCGGTTCAATTCTCAGCGGTGGATGGTTGATACGAATTCTGCTCCTGGCTCTCACCGACTACAGTGCTGACGTAATATATCCTCAGTGGTAGATGGATTATGGGTTAAAATCGCATTACCGTAAGGCTAAACATAGAGGTTTCATGGTTTTCCTTTCTATATAACGCAAATGCGTGCTCGTTTCATCAAGAAGTCTTCCAAGAAGGCTAGTTTGTCCCAATGCTTGATCCGGGAGTTCACTTATGTCTTCTGGATTGGGTTAAAAATTACAAAGTTATGGAGTTGAACATTGATAGAATATTCTCCGATCATCATTGAAGTCAATAAATCAAATGAGGGATTAAAATAATTCAAAATCATCTTAGTTGAAGATGTAGCTTTAAAGCGGTTTCAAATGAAGGCGAACCCGCTCCAGTTTCATTGGTTTCGATCCGTGTTTAACTCTGTCTGCGCTTTATTTGTGAACTTTTTTTAAAAACTTTTTTTAAACTTCGCTTTTGAATATTTATAAGAATTTAAAAATGTTTTTTTTTTAAACTTAAATATGACTTTGCATATTTATTTCGCTTCATTGTTTTGTTTTAGTTTTGTTCATTTACGTCGCACTAGAGCTGCACAATGGGCTATTGGCGACGGTCTGGGAAACATCCCTGAGGATGATCCGAAGACATGCCATCCCAATTTTGATCCTCTGCAGAGGGGATGGCACCCCCGGTTCAGTAGCCCAACGAACTGCCGACCTGCACCGAAGTCGAGCACTTTACGGTAGAACAGTTTAATGAGGAGTAATGCCGCACACCCTCGGTCCCTACGCAGACTGATCCAAGTGGTCACCCACCCGCACACTGACCGTAGCCAGTGATGCTTGACTTCGGTGATCTGCTGGGAACCGTGTCTTAACGATCAGTTCACTGCGGGACATTGTATTCTGCTAGACAAAATTAACCAAAGTTAACTCTTATATATTATGTTATGTGATCACATTTTAGAATTTAAGTTCAACATTGTTATTTTAGGACTATAACGAAAATGAGGTTTATTTGTGTCAGTGTTCTTTTAGGAGTTTAAGGTCTACCTAGTCAGTAAAAAAATTATTTTAAGTATGAAAAATCTTATAAATAATTCTATTTTGTACAATATTAACACTTTAAATTGAATTTTAAACTTACTTAGTATTTCTTAGCATTGGTAACATAGCATTCCAAAAGTGTTCTGTTAAATGTGGAATATTAGATAATCCTAGTCCTCTTAGCATTGGTCCTTGAATTTTGACAAATATCGTTAAAGCTTCTTCTGATATGTTTTCATTTCTATCAAGATCAAGGGCAACTAGACTTTTAATATTTCCTTTTTCAATCCACTCTTTCAATACCTATGAATAAAAATATAACATTTTATGATACTTGTAATATTATGAATGAAATATTAGTTGGCATTAAACGATCTGATGAATTAGTTCCAACGATTTGAAAAACACGGAAGAGGATATAAAAGTACGTTAACTGTGTTCCGTTTAACACTAAACATACCAACACTTAATATATACCTATTTCTACCATAGCCGGACATTTTTCTGGATAAAAACTAACAGTTAATTAGAAATGAAGCAAAGCTATCAAAATAAAATATGATCTACTTACCAAAACATTTCGTTTTTGTCACTTTTTTTTCATAAAAATGGCAATTTAAAATTTTAGGTACTTTCTTGAAAATTGAATTCACAGTTATTCTGATTGAACTAACTACGCAACAGCCTTTGTAGAAATGTGCAACTAAAAGTACGTTAGCTGTGTTCCGTTTAACACTAAACATACCAACACTTAATATACACTCTTGTGCAAATTAATTGAAACAAACTTTTTTTTCGTGTTTTTTAAAGAAGATGTTTTGGGGTTGTTTCGGTTACAATGGGGTTGGACCTTTGCAGCCTATTGACGGTATGATGCGTTCTGAGCAGTACATTACTATTCTGGGTAAAAAAGTTGTTCCAGAGTTGAAGAAACGATACCCTGATGGAACAGGGATTTTTCAACAGGATTTAGCTCCTTGCCATACGTCCAAAATTGTCAAGAAATTCATGTCTGAGAATCAAATTGAGACATTGGAATGGCCAGGGAACTCTCCGGATATCAACCCAATTGAGAATCTCTGGGCCATATGCAAGAATCGCCTATTAAATATGGACTGTACAACTATGGAGAAGCTAATCACGGCGTTAATTCATGTGTGGTACAAGGACACAAATATTATAAATGACTGTAAAAAATTAGTGGAATCCATGCCGAATCGTGTCCAAATGTTAATAAAGTGTCGTGGAGATCATATTATGTACTAAAAATTTTTGAGTTTGTATATAAATTTAAATAAAATAGCATTTTCTCTTAGTTTTCTGAATTTATTGAGTTTGTTTCAATTAATTTGCACAAGGGTGTATACCTATTTCTACCATAGCCGGACATTTTTCTGGGTAAAAACTAACAGTTAATTAGAAATGAAGTAAAGCTATCAAAATAAAATATAATCTACTTACCAAAACATTTCATTTTTGTCACTTTTTTTTACATAAAAATGCCAATTTAAAATTTTAGGTACTTTCTTGAAATTTGAATTCACAGTTATTCTGATTGAACTAACTACGCAACAGCCTTTGTAGAAATGTGCAATTAATCGAATGCAATACGTTGAACAGGCATTACATCGTAATTTCTGATCCAATAACCTTATAAAGTAATAAATTGTTCTCCCGGTCAAATGACCGGTTGTGGTAGAAATAGGTATACGATAAGTATTAATCGGAACAAACAAAATATAATAAAATAATAATAATAGAATATTAACTGTATATAATTGTTAGAAAAAGTCATGAAGTGAAATGTGCAAAAGCGATAAGATGAACAGCGCATTTTCGATGGCAAAGTTCTTAAACGGTTATTATTTGACCGTTTATGGTATGTTTAGTGTTAAAAAAAGAGCTTAATTATTATCCTTAAGTTTCAAAATCAGTTTCAAAGCTTGCCAAAAGATGCCACTGATGACTAGTAAAAACTATCAAACAATGTGATAGTATCAAAATATAAAAACAAAATTTAAATTAACAAGGCACTTTTCTTTTATTGTCGACATCGATGAGCAGTTAATCCATTTGAGTGGATTTGTAATTTTAAATTAGACACTGAAGTTATGAGAACTTCATCGGAGTAATTCACATTCACAGAGGATCATTATTCACGTGTCTGTAATAATAATAAAAAAATAAAAACAAATTTAATGAAGGTAATGGTGACTTAACAATTGTTCATAGCAAACACCGACACAAAAACGATAATAAATGCTTTTAAAAAGAGTAATAAAACTAAATTATATTGTTGATCCGGGTAATTTTTCAAAATGCGTATTTTGAGAAGTCAAATATAGGTTCTTAATTAAGTTTAAATCGATGCTATTCATAAGTAGCATAATTATGATTTTGTAATTGCATTATTAAATTGCACTATTTTATTGGCAAGAAAGTAATTTCGGTTTTTTTACCCTTTGACTCAGAATTTTTAGTAAACCTATTTCTAATACTCTTTTATTACTTTATATTAATTTTGGTCAAAATAAGTGAAAAGTATTATATTTAGCTTTTTATTAATTTATGGTTATGAATTACAGCATAAAACATCGTTGCTTTTGTTCTGTGTTAAGGAAAAATCGTCCAAACACGACTCACTTAAAAAAGCAATAATCTTTCAAATTTGCAGCTATTTAGATGTAAGGGAAACAGTTATTCGTCTCCGAAATTTATTTAATTTATAAACCAACTATTAATAAAGTTACAACAGCATGAATGAAAAAATAATTATTTCAAATAACTTTTTTTTATATTTTCGTACAAATTCATTTAAGATAATCTAATAGATTATTTTCGTAACTATTGGACTGTTTTTTTTTTATAATTAAAAAATACCGAAATATAATTTTACTTGTAATCAGAGTAATATATATATATATATACTGTTAAAATTTTCATTCTAAAATTATGGTAAAATAATTGGCAGCTGTCTGTCCATCCGATTAACCGTAAATTTTTTGGTAAAAAACAGTTTTTTCCTTTATGGTTTTTTAACCATTTACAACTAGCATTTTTCAAAAACGTAAAAAAAAAAAAAAAAATTAATTATTTAACTGGACATAGGCACTCGGCTTTTCGTAAGGTAATGGGCATTGGAGAGTGCCGGACACCGGAAATTCTTCATGTGTTGAAGGGAATGGAGGAAATATTGTGGTGTCAACACTAGGATTCGAACTCCAGTTTTGTCGGTCATGAGATTGTCAGGTAAGCCCGCTCGGCTATGATATGTACGCAGTTGCAAAGAACTACGTAGCTTCATTAGGTGGTTCTAGTTGGAGCGATAAAATTTTGGTTGTTTAACTGTATAAGGTGAGAGTAGTTAATAAACAGTTTTCTCAAACTTAGCAGTTTGATTACCATTTTATTTATGGTTATTTGACTGTTTTGAATAAATATGGTAAAATAACCATTCAATAAATTGTTATTTAACCGTTTTTTCCGAGAAATTTTTAACAGTGTATATATATTAAAGGGACACCGGTGTTCCATCTGCGGCAAAGAGTTAATGTAAAATAAAAATTTTTCTAGAGAAAGAATTAACTTTAATAAACTTAATATTTTCCATCCTGTTGATGTCCTTTTGCCATTTCCGGCTACTTCATGATCCCGCCCTTTAAATCTAATCATTAACTGGTTATTTTATAGTAAGGTTTTAATGGTTGCAGCAATATTGGAAGATATATTTTATTTTAAGATTCATGATTTCATATTACAGATCTTTGCTTTTTCCTTCTTTTTTTTTTATAAAGTGTAAATATTGTCTCACCAGAAACTAGTATAATATTTTAAATATTTTTTTTACGATTTCATCGGATTATGAAAAATCTAAAACCATTCAATTTGGGGATCGTTGCTGTTATTGAACTACTTTCTTCATTGAGCCCCTTCCATTATTTCATCGTTATTAACGACACACGCTAACTGTTAATATAATGTAATTTAATTAATTTATATGACAATTTAATAGCATGAGTTATTTAAAAATATCGTACAATTTATATAATTAAATTAAATATTATTAAATTAAATATTATTAAATTAAATATTATTAAATTAAATATTATTAAAATAAATATTATTAAGTATAAATATTAAATATTATAGTTAAATATTATTTAGTTATAATAAGTTACGTTATAAGATTTATTATAACTAAACATATAATATTTTAACTAAATAATGTAACGTTACACAACTCTTTTATCCTTCTGTATTTAGTGAAAAATAAGTTTTTGCTGCTTATGAGATTTAGACCAACCGATAGGATATACTGCAGCTGAGAAGATACAGAGTAAAGATATAATGTGAAATAATATAACATCAAATAATATGACGTTATATTTAACGTCAAATATAAAAATGCTTGAAATTCAAGGAGAATTTATGAAACAAAGCCGTGAGTTATCTGATCTTGGAATATGTTCATAAAGCAAACATTAAGTCACGAGACAAAATAGTAAAATACTTACTGATATCTACATCTTTATGAAAAATTATATTTATGAAATTTGATGATAATAATAGCAAACTTTGAAAACTTAGTATAAGAATATAGAAGAACAATTTTATAGCATTGTTAGATGGTATGGTACGGTACTTGGTACTATAATATTTTTACTACAATATAAAAGCAATTTATATTATTTTATTTTATATTATCATAATAACCAAGTCTTTTTCGAAAGTAAAAAGAGTCAGCCATAAGTAATTTATTTGAGTAAATTTTATTGTTTTTACAAGAATGGCAAGTGAAGCATGAAATTTAGATATTAATAATATTTTTTTTTTATATAGATCTCGAAGTTTTGAGTTCAAATATGTGACATCTTTTGAGATAATTAATTTAAATGTTTAAGTAATTGAATTTTTTTTCCATCCATTTAAAAATAAAATTGTTGTTTCCATTGTTTACGAAACTTTCAGAAGTACTCTAGATTCAGAAATTTTCACTTATTATAAAACCTCTCAAAGTTTCAGGACTTCAAAGATTATAAATGCAATAATTTTTTTTTTTGTCATAGAAAAATTAAATGCTTCGACTTATTTTTTGACAAATTTTTTATCAAGTTTGCAAATTTAGAAAGAAAAAAATTTAAACAAAAGTTATTTTTATGAAATTTTCATTAGATTAGTGCAACGCCTTTATTAGCCCTAGCATTGGCTGTTATTTAATTCCTGCTGAAGATTATTTATTTCGTAAATAAAAATTTATAAAGATTTTTACCTGGTCTGTAAATCCGTCTTGTTGGCCTGCTGCTAGATATCGAAGAGCAGGTAATTTCGTCAGAAGATCTATTAGACAATCAGAGGACAATTCAGTTGCTGTAATGTCTAATTCCTGAAGTACTGTTTTATCCCATTCAGCTGCCATCACGTGTTCACTTTTTAGAGCTATTTTAAAATAACAATAAAAGAAATTTTATTTTTATTAAATCTGTTATGCAAAAAAAAAACCTTATGATGTGGTATCACAAATAAATGTTTTTCTTTTTAATACAAATTATCTAATTAATTAGAAATAATTGCACAAGCCAGTAACTAGATTAACCCTTTAATGCAGAACTTTTAATTGGTCAAAATAAGTGATAACACAATAGGAAACAGCAAACGCAATCATATAAAAAATATAACGCGAATTGCATTGACGCACGTGTTGTTCAAATAAGCTTAAGCCAACTTTAAGCTTTTGCTAACTTTTTTCACACTCGAAAATTCTTTTAACCCCGAGACTTAAAATGTTTATTAAACATATTTTTCATACTTTTTTCATTATTTTGTATGAATCTAAGCCAAAATGAGAGAAAAATATTATGCTTAGCATTTTAATAATTTATGGTTTTGAAATACAGCGTGAAACACGACTCACTTCCAAACAATAATTTTTCAAATTTGCGGTTATTTAGGCCTTAAAGAAGTAGTTTTTCATCTTTGAAATTTCTTTAATTTACAAAATCAATTATTGATAATTTTCGGGAATATGAGTGAAATTTTTTTTTTCAAACTACGCGTTTTGAATTTCTAACAGATTTTTAGTAACAACTAGCTCGTTTTTTATAATTAAAAAAATACCAAAATATATTTTTGCTTGTAATTAGAACGCTAAAAAAGCATTTTTAAAGGGACACGGGTGTCCCATCTGTGTCACTTGGTAAATTGATCACTTGGTGGTCATTATTCTGTTATTTCCCAACAATAATAAATTTCTATAAAAATTTTTTTTTTTTTCGTTCTTTGAAGGATAGTTACATTGAATTTCATTCAAATTTCGAATCATTTGTAATTGTCGCGCATTTTTTTCTCGATAAAGTGCATAAAATTACCGATTTTATTATATGGATTTCAAGACATTCTCAACATCATTATTGAGGATACTCGTTTAGTAAGAGTATTATATTTTTTATAATCCAAATTTTTTTTTGTTGTATTTTAAAGAAAGGTAATGCGATTATTAAAAATTTATTTTGTTCGGTAAACTAAAAAATTTGTAAAATGAATAATTTAATTATTCTTTTCAATCTGCTCGGTACATAAGATAATGCACTTTATAACAAAAAAATCGACGCACCAAGAAGCAATCATCCGATTGCTTTGAAATTTCGTATGCGTGAATGTTTTGAACAGATCAGGCTGGAATGATGCCGACTGGGGACGTATAGTCTTTAGCGATGAATCCCGCTTCCAACTGTGTCCTGACGATCATCGAAGACGTGTTAAGAGACGCACAGGGCAGAGGGGGGATCCTGCACGCCACTATTGCACGCCACACCGGACCCCAACAAGGCATTATGGTCTGGCGTGCCATTTCCTTTGACTACCGGACCCCTTTGGTCGTCATTAGAGGTACACTTACTGTACAGCGGTACGTCGACGACATCCTAAGACCTGTTTTGCTACCGTTCCTTTTGCAGCACCCTGGGCTGGTTCTTCAGGAGGATAATGCCAGACCACATACGGCACGTGTTGCTATGAACTGTCTGCAAGCTTGTCAAACTCTTCCTTGGCCTGCCAGANGAATTTTTAAATTCTGCAAAGGCGGCAGACTCGAAAAGATCTTATTTTTAAGTATCATGGTTGATCAGGAAATCAATAACACAAGTTGTAGAAATAAATACAACTCTCTCTGGCATCTTCAGCATGAGTGACATAGTTCCGTAAAAATAATTGCTATTTGACAACTAGTTAAATTTTCCTTTTGTGACGTAACTAAGTTAACTGTTAACTGATCATGAAACCGAAACGTAAATATCTTCCTCATAAAAATGCTTATCTTTGCTCTGAATATGAGCAAAAACTGATTCTGAAGCATACAGAAAGGTTCTCCTTTTTTCTCAAGCATACATAAAGCAGAACTTGTTACGTAATTCAACCGGTTGAAACTCTTTCTTTGCTTATAGTTTGTCTAAAATAAGAACTCCCCTTGCCATTCGTCTTGACCCGTGGCGGTGACTATGTTAACGAGGTATTACTATTTCAGTGTTGTCCTGTTTAGGACAGGGTTTGGCTCTGGTCAGCTAGAGAAACGGAATTTGAATTGTGTTAACTCTAAAGTGAAGAGAATCTACCCTCTCTGAAACGCGCCATTCTTGTTTCCATAACAGCAGACGGTCTCAGACTTTGTTGCTAGGGGGGTTCTTACCGTAGACAAACCAAAGGAGATTACATTACTTATGAGGGAAATCATAAATATTAAAATTAAAACAGTTAAGAGGTTCCTTTCGTTTCACTGGGGATCCGTCCCATCACCAAGCTTATGGCAAAGAATAGAGCGAAATTCGTCAGAAATTTTAACTTTGCAGATTCAGTAAAGGTAGGAAGGGGGGCTCTAAAAAGTTTGTTAGCACTGGACATTTTTTAATTACTCACCTCCTAATCTTTGGAGGTATCGATATGAATTAATAACGAGATGGTTTTCTCTGTATCTGATTTTGTACCTTATATTAACGTCTGTATGGCATATTATTAGGAGTGCTCCTCTAATCATCGAGAATATATTTCAGTATGTTGATGATTACGCAAACATTTTCTTAGGGTCAAACTATTTTCACTTTTTGCTCAGTACATAAAAGTCGTAAAAATGTAGTCACACTATTTCTCCATTTTGTTCATGTTTATTTCGCATGATCTTAACTTTATGAACTAAATATGAATTTTACATTACATTTCAGGTGTCTACCGCTTGAGGAAGACAAAATAAAAATTCAAAGTTACAGTGCTTCTCAGAATTTCTCCCTTGAAAATTGTTTTTTCACCATTTGATAAATATCTGCAAAATGAATATTTTTCCTAATTTCTAAGTAATTTTTTTTATATGCATATGAAATATCAGAGAATGACTATTTTAGACCAATGATATCCCGTGCCAACAATGTGATAGAAACTATGTGATAAGAACACTTTGTTCTAAATGTTAGATAACGAAATAATATGAAATTATAGTAAATTACAAACAAATTAGCATGAAATCATGATAATTAAATCTCTACGAAGATAAATTTAAAGGTAAACATGAAAAAAAAATTTCAATCAAGGAATAACTTACCTATAAGATGTAAAACTTCTAGCCCATTGATGAAGTTGTAAATTTTTCGCATAAAACCTTCCATAAAAATAACTTCTGATAAGCAAATACACATTGTCCGCAGCCTGCTGGGAAATGTTTGTAAATCACTAAAGTCATGAAGTTGCATAGCAGTTGAAAAATCAAGTAACATGTGAGTAAGAGAAGTACATTTATAAGCCAATTCTTGAAGTACTGTATGGGTAATCAATTCGATTGGTAATTCTATATAACGCAATGATGGTCCTGAAATGAAACGTTAATAATATTATCAAAGAATGACTTGGGTAGTAATATATAAAAGAAAACTGTATTTATACACTATTAGAAATTTCTCAGAAAAAAGGTTAAATAACAAATTATTGAATGTTTATTTTACTATATTTAATCAAAACAGTCAAATAACCATAAATAAAATGGTAATCAAACTGTTAAATTTGAGAAAAACTGTTTAGTAACTGCTTTCACCTAATACGGTTAAACAACCAGAATTTTATCGCACCAACTAGAACCACCTAATGAAACTACTTAATTCTTTGCAACTGCGTACGTATCGTAACCGAGTGGGATTATCTGTCAATCTCATGACCGGCAGAACTGGAGTTGAGTCCTAGTGTTGACACCACAATATTTCCTCCATTCCCTTCAACACATGAAGAATTTCCAGTGTCCGGCACTCTCTAATGCCCATTGCCTTACGAAACGCCGAGCTCCTATGCCTAGTTAAAGAATAATTTTTTTTTACGTTTTTGAAAAATGTTAGTTGTTAATGGTTAAAAAACCGTATAGTTTTGTATTCATGGTCTTATAACCATACTTTTTGTAAATGGTTTTAAAAACCATAAAGTAAAAAACTGTTCTTTACCGTAAACTTTATGGTTAAGCGGATGGACAGACAGCTGCCAGTTATTTTACCATAATTTTAAAATGAAAATTTTAACAGTGTAATAATAGCATTAAGTTAATAAATACTTTAATATTAAAAATTATGCTAATTAACTTGTGTGAATGAATGATACTCGAAGCAGTAAGATTGCAAATCTTATGTGAAAACTTGTTCATTAGACCAAAAGTTATTCAAGATGTTTATTCCTATTTTTATTTTGAGTACTGTACTTTAAACTTATGAGAAATGTAAATGAAAAAAAAGTGTACGTACCGAAGCGTACTGCAATTAGGGCTAGTAGGGTTTCAATGTTTGTAACATGTAATCCAGATACATCAGGCCGTAACGATACGTGTGTCCATAGTCTTGAATCACTTGAAATCATCCTCCATTTTTTGCACACTCTAGCTAATCGTCCAACTTCTTTGTGGGGAAGATAAGTGAATATTTTGAGTAGAACTTTATCCGGCAATTTCTCGATTGTCTGAAAATTAAAACATCCTTTGTTAACACAAATAGATTGCAGAACAAGTAAATAAGCAAACCAGAAAATAGAATATTTTGTATTGTGTCCAAAAACTACAGAAATAAAATCCAATTCACTAGTATATAAGACATGTTAACTCGATTCTATGTTGGGATACCTTTTTCATAGATGACGGTAGACATGGTCGATAGCAAGTCTCCCCACATTGGTGACCTGGACGTGATATGAACAAGCCTACCTTGACAGAAGCGCCCACTTCGATTTGAACACACCCACTTCGATGGATGGTCCACATTGAACAGTTGACTTGTAACTGCTACATTGTCCTCTTCATGCTGTTGCTACTCAGTCTCGATCACACGCAGCGTACAACGTATTCATTCGACTGCTAAAGGCAACATAGGAGCAACCACGACCGTGAACTTAATACAGCTCTCACGATCAGCACTCAAAAGTACGGTGATCTTAATACAGCTATCCCGGCTTCTCACAGAACAGCAATGAATCAACTAGTTGTATCCGTCCATCGAATTCTACCACAGCTATAATTCTGGTGGGGAAATACTGTATTGTGTCTACCACTACAAAAATAAATTACCAATTCACTGGTACATAANATCATTAGACCAAAAGTTATTCAAGATGTTTATTCCTATTTTTATTTTGAGTACTGTACTTTAAACTTATGAGAAATGTAAATGAAAAAAAAGTGTACGTACCGAAGCGTACTGCAATTAGGGCTAGTAGGGTTTCAATGTTTGTAACATGTAATCCAGATACATCAGGTCGTAACGATACGTGTGTCCATAGTCTTGAATCACTTGAAATCATCCTCCATTTTTTGCACACTCTAGCTAATCGTCCAACTTCTTTGTGGGGAAGATAAGTGAATATTTTGAGTAGAACTTTGTCCGGCAATTTCTCGATTGTCTGAAAATTAAAACATTTTTTGTTAATACAAATAGATTGCAGAACAAGTATACAAGCAAATCAGAAAATAGAATATTTTGTATTGTGTCTAAAAAATACAAAAATAAAATCCAATTCACTAGTATATAAGACATGTTGACTCGATTCTATGTTGGAATACCTTTTCATAGATGACGGTAGACATGGTCGATAACAACTCTCCCCACATTGGTGACCTGGAACGTGATATGAACAAGCTTACCTTGACAGAAACGCCCACTTCGATTTGAACACGCCTACTTCGATGGATGGTCCACATTGAACAGTTGACTTGCTACTTGTGACTGCGAAATTGTCTTCCTCACGCTGTTGTTACTCAGTCTCGATCACACGCAGCGTACAACGTATTCATTCGACTGCTAAAGGCAACATAGGAGCAACCACGACCGTGAACTTAATACAGCTCTCACGATCAGCACTCAAAAGTACGGTGATCTTAATACAGCTATCCCGGCTTCTCACAAAACAGCAATGAATCAACTAGTTGTATCCGTCCGTCAAATTCTATCACAGCTATAATTCTGGTGGGGGAATACTGTATTGTGTCTACCACTACAAAAATAAATTACCAATTCACTAGTATATAAGACATGATAACTCGATTCTATGGCGGGGTACCTTTTCATAGATGAAGGTTGACATTGTCGATGTATGGTCTGCATTTCATATTTTATTAATCGAAGCATTATTTTTTTATGTTACCTATTATCTTGCAACGGCAAAAGTTTAAAATTCTTATTAATGAAAAAATTCTAATATTAATGACAATTACTTTCTTCAATAACTATATTCACGGGAAAAATAATTATGGTAAAAATACCGTACTAAATGGTAATTTCAGGCAAAAAACAACAACTTGATTCCGGAAAATAAAACCCAAGTATACGGTATTTAAACCATTTGTTTGGCAATTTTTTTGTTCATACGGCCACAGTTAGCCGGAAATTCTGGTTTTCAAAATTACAAGTTCTTATTACCTCCCATTTAGTAAAACATGCTATAGAATAAATGATTTTTAAGTCATGCTCGAAGGTATCAAATTTGAACACATTAACCAAATTTTATTACATATTATAAAACTATATTTTATTATTAATTTCTCCAAAATGAATACCAAAGCGCTTCGCAAAAATTATCGAGATCTTTGGTCTTCCCATGGAGCCAAAAACACAGTAAATTTTATCATATTCTGGTAATTTTTTATGTACTTTTCTCTCATTGTGAGTATGCACCACTAAAAATTTTCTTAAATCATTTTTTTAAACTGAAATATTTTTCATATTTTTTTATTGAAAAATATATATATATTTTTATTGAAAAATAATGTGTTGAAAATATAGTAACAAGAATTGCTTTCAGTTTTGGAATTAGTCAAGTAATAGTAACATTTATTGTTTAATCAAATGAAATATTGAAAATTTAATTTCAGTAGTATTACTTTAATTTTTAAAATTAATTTAAAAGTAATGTCACAAAAAAATTTACCAGTAATGTATTTCAAATTCAGAATTCATATTAATAGAATAGAGCAATTGATCACTTATGCTGCTTAAATTTCCTTGAATTACTTTATTTTTTACACTGATAAAAAATCAGGAATAAAAAATGATTACAGTAACTTTTTAAAAATCTCATTCGTAAAAAACGTTTGAACCATTAGAATTTAAAATAAATTGAATAAAATATTTAGTAAAAAAATTATTACTTTTTTTGCTTTTAAAATTTTTTTGTTGTAATCATTTAGCTTAATGGAATTTATTGATGTAGTAAACTATTTAGTAAAAAAGAAAAAAAGCTAATGGCTAAGCTGACTGCTTTGTTGTAATAAATGCAATAACTGACTATACTGTCATATCTGTGACATCTAACAGTAATACTGTTTACCAAGCTGTTAAAGAGGATAGAAAAAGGAAAAAAATCAGAGTAAACTAATGGCAAGTTTTCGGTGAATAAAGGACATTGTATTACGCTAAACACAGGTATGAATACGAAAATATTCATTAAACCTAATTTTAATATTAAATTTTATTATTTCTCATCTGCATTTAATCTTATTTTACTTCATTAATGCATATCGTTAACTTTTTTATATTATTGCAAATCATTATCCTTTAATATTATTTTAATTATCATCATTGTCATATTCCTTATTTCATATCTTTTAAAACTTTCGAAGAAGTAACGATTTAATTAAATATTTCTGATCACTTGCAATTTGTATAATACTGGGTAAAATAGAATTGCTGCTACGAGATTGCTTTATTTTTTAAAATAAAGAAAGAAGAAATTAACAGGGTCCCTGAGCTATCTATTCTCGTTCTAAAGTCGAGGTAGCTAAAAATAAACTTACATCAGCAGGAATTCTTATCGAAATAGATTAGCTTTTCTCTAAACTTGAAGTGAAGTTTTTTAAAAGTACTTTTTAAATTAAAGTAAGTTTCAAACAATAAGTTATCGAATTAAACATAAAAAAAAACGTTTTTAGGGTGGTATGTATGCAAAATAACTTAAATAAATAGAGGAAAAATATAAACGCTGTTTTAATTGTTAGTATCATATACTGACAAATTTATATTACATTTTTATTCTATTACAAATTCTCTTATATTACGTTTCTGTATTTTTCAAGCTTTTATTCAAACATCGTAGTATATTCATACTATACTTATTTCCGTATACTAAAAATTTCTATACCATATTAAATAACTACCATTTTATTTCAAAGACTTATTTTTTATTGATCGTAATATATCTGTTATGGCTTATAACGGGCTGTTGAGGAAATGCTTTAAAGGAAACAGCAAATTGAATTTTAAAAATATTATTAAAAAATAATCATTTGTAAAAATTAAAATTTACTAATTTATCATTTGAAAAATTAATTTGGTATAATTACAATTGTAAAAAGTGATTTTGAGACCTCATGTAACTAATTGCTATCTTATCATGAACTTTTTTTTAGTTTTTATTTATTTATTTTTTGCATTCAAAACTATAAACAACTGTCATTATTTTTACACATCATAACTTACCTCAAAGATACTGCGATAACTAACATTATACGGAAGCTCATTATTTTAAGGATTTTTAGCACTTTCTGGCAAAAGTTTTTCATTTTAAATATATCTTAGAAATTAAGTTGTGAATTACTTGTCTAGTTTCATAAAATAATAATAAAAAATCAAAATAAGTACGATTTCAGCAAAATAATAAGTCAATAAAGAAAAAAATTTCGTTTTGGAGGGGCATATAAACGATTAAAATAAAAAAATATTATAAGCGCGACTCATATCTATAAAAATGATGTCCCCAATAAACATGCATTGCAAAGTTTTAGTGTTGTCACAGTTTTATCAAAATGATAAATGAGCTGTGTGACAACAAACCTTTCAGACGACACACGCCCCTGCCTCTTCTCTTATCTTTTAGCACATTCTCAGCAAAATTGTTTAAATCTTGATTCATAAAATAGTATCCTGCTCCAAAATATGGTGCAAATAAGCTACAATGTTCATGAGGTTTTAACCTAATCCATGTTCTTCATGAACCATAAGATGAACCATAATATGGCATAAACAAGTTCAAGAAAAACAATAATGCATTTAAACTTAGAACTCTATAGCGGTTGAAGCAAATTTTTACGACATTACAATACAATACGCTCCCAAATTTCTTAAAATGCATAATTTTACTTGATTTATGAATATTATAATATTTTATGTCTCTAGACACACTGAATAAATAGTGAATGTTAAAAACCATTTACTTAGTATACTATAAATTAGTATCATAGTAAGGTTAAAGCAAATTTTAACGTATATTACAGTACAATAAGCTTCGAAATTTCTAGCAGTGCATGTTTTTGTTTGATTTATTAACGTCAAAAAATTTTATATCTATAGATGCACTGAATAAATGATGAATGTTAAATAATATTTACTTAGTATAATATAAATTAGTACCATATTAAGGCTGAAGCAAATTTTAATGATATTGCATTACCATACGCTCCAAAATTTCTAACTGTACTTGATTTATTAATCTTATAAAATTTTACATCTATGGACGTGTTAAAAAAATTATGAATAATGAATGTTAAATAATAGTAATAATACCTTTTTCCCAATGGTGACCACCAGAATTTTTAGATAAAATTAAATTTTTTAAATTTTTTGTCACCAAAATAAATTTAATTTTGTGCAAACGTTGACTCCTAATGATATCTTTGCATTTAAATTCCTGCATCATAGAATTTTAATATGGAAGACAATAAATTAAAAGAAGGATATTTGACAGGTTTTTACTCAAGTTATTTTGTATGTATGTATAGAAGTTTTATGTTTCTTATTTATGTTTTTTTTCTCTATTTTTTGTTATGTTAGAAAGGAATATTTCACATTTTTTGTAACTGTGTAATTGTGATGAATCTTTTTTTAATTTTGACATGATGCATAGGTATGTTTGTCTGGAAATTTTTTTTCTATAACTACTAATCGTAACTCACATGAAAGATATACAAATTGCAACTACTTATGTGGATATAAAATAAGAACTCACTAACTCTAAGTAATGGATTTTCAAAACGGAATTTTTCAGAGCGGTGGCCTCGAATTTTTTTTTTCATTTCTCGTTCAAATTACGAACAACAGTATGCATAATATTAACGTAATTTACGCAGCACCTAAGTATTTTTAAAATTCATAGTTTTTTACTAATTTAAGTATAAATCTCTAACTTTTCTGACTTTTTTTCAGTGGTATATAGGCATTTTATTATAATTATTTCTTTTTTAAAAGAGTAAAAATGATGTATAGCAGAAACTATATTAATAAATGTTCACATGATTAAATTTTTATGTAAATAGGATTAAAAACTTTAAGAGACTGTTGGGCTGTTGATTTAGTTATCCTCAAAGAAGAGTTTCTATAATGCACTTGTTTAGTTTCCTTGAACTTTTTTTATTAATTCGCCTACACATGGTTCAAAATTAATAAAATAACGCAAAAGTATATTAATAATTTGGTAAGTTTTAATCAATTATATGATTAACAAATAAAAATAAATAATATTTTCCCAACTCTTCATTACATTTAGCCATGATTAAATCATATAAATAAAAAATAAAATTATGCAAGCAATTATAGAATGTGCAAGTTTATTGGATATTTTTTTATAAAAAAAATCCACATTTGAAACATAATATTAAAACTTAATTAAATAGTTTAGTTAGTTCATAAGTTATATAACGTTATAAAACTATATAGTTTAATTAGTACATAAAACTATATAGTTTAATTAGTACATAACCTCTTCCTTGCGTTATCTTTAATAACTATATAGTTCAATTAAAATTCATTTAAGAATAAAAACAAGAAAATGTGTTTTGATATTTCTTGTGAAATACATCAGTATATAAACTGTTCATATGCTGACTTCATATACTAATCACATGCTCATTAATTAGTATATAATCTCTTCATTACTTTATATTTAATATAATTCAATTAAAAATAATTTATTAAAAAACAAGAAAATGTGTTTTGATACTTCTTGTAATACACATTACTTTATAAACTCTTCATATATTACTTCAGATACTCATTAATTCAGGGTATAAAACCTTCATTATTTTATATTTAATAACTATATAGTTTAATTAAAAATAATTTATAAATAAATACAAGAAATGTGTTTCAATATTTTTATAAAACATATCATTAGAGAAACTCTTCATTACTTTATCTTTAATAACTATATAGTTTAATTAAATAACTTATCAATAAACACAAGGAAATGTGTTTCTATATTTGTTGTAAAATATATCATTATATAAAATCTTCATTACTTTATCTTTAATAACTATATATTTTAAATTAAAAATTACGAAAATGTCAAGAGCTTTTGCAGGAATTATTTTACAATTCTGGGAATTATTTTACAACATGACATTGAAATTGTAATTAGAATGTGATGTGTCATAAGTAAACAAGAAAACACGTGCTTCTATTCATTGATATATGTCTAATTTTTGAATAATTTTATGTAGACTTACTGCCGTTGGTATAAATCCATTTCTTCCCGTTTCATCTTTATCTTTGAAGCCGGTTGTAATAGCGGCTGATGACACATCGGCCCACATTGAGAATCTACGATCCATACTGAAAACAAGGGGCTTTATAACCTCCTATTGTTTGGCAAAACACACCGGAAATAGTTTTTCTCAATAGGATTTATAATTCCTTCAGTAGAAATAGCACTGTTTCTTGCTCATTAGAATGGGGAGGAAAAAAAATCTAACAAAAAATTTACTCCTCACTCTTGGCTCGAAACTGCAGTTTAGGGTTGGAGGAAACAACTTTTGGAAGCTATCGCCAAAGTTATTGTTTAGGCATAAGATTTATCCCGGGAATTTCGAATTATTTAGACCTGAAGATCTCAGCCCTTTTAATTCTGTACACTGTTAGAAACTTCTCGGAAAAAAAAGGTTAAATAACAATTTATTGAATGGTTATTTTATCATATTTAATCAAAACAGTCAAATAACCATAAATAAAATGGTAATCAAACTGTTAAGTTTGAGAAAAATGGTTTATTAACTGCTTTCACCTCATACGGTTAAACAACCAGAATTTTATCGCACCAACTAGAGCTACCTAAGGAAACTACCTAGTTCTTTGCAACTGCGTGCGTATTGTAGCCAAGTGGGATTATCTGTCAATCTCATGACCAGTAGAATGGAGTTGAGTCCTAGTGTTGATACCACAATATTTCCTCTATTCTCTTCAACACATGAAGAATTTCCAGTGTCCGGCCCTCTCCAATGACCATTACCTTACGAAAAGCCGAACTCCTATGTCTAGCTAAATAATAATTTTTGAAAAATGCTAGTTTTAAATGGTTTCAAAACCATAAAGGAAAAAAATGTTCTTTACCGTAAACTTTACTGTTAATCGGATGGACAGACAGCTGCCAGTTATTTTACCATAATTTTAGAAGGAAAATTTTAACACTGTAAGCAACCCCTTTTGCGAAAAAAAAAACAAAGTTAAACCTTTCAAACTACTATAAATATACAAGAAGAAAATCTAATGAAATATAGACATCTATTATATTACATATGACGAATATATATACTTATATAATAATGTTTCTTACGAGTCTTTCTATATTAATTCAAACAATGTGAAAAATTCCAGCACTTTCGGTGCATCATCGAAGTCCATTTTTATCGTAAATAATTATACCGTAATTTTTACAGCAATATCTATTTAATTAGAGTGATTCACTGATTTTACGGTAATTGTTGCTGTTAAAATTACAGTATATCAGATTTTTTGCTCCGTAACATTATTCCAGGAAAAATGGATTTTACAGTAAAAAGTACCGGCACCCTGGGTAGTGGTACTTTTTGCAGTATATTCGTCCACGCATTCCCTATCATAATCCCTGCATAAAGGTCGAGACAGACCTATTTTATGGGGCTTTTTCATGATGTAACTTCTAGTAAAACTGCGGTCTAATCATCCAAATTCCAAGATTCTGACTGGAGAAGTTTTTTTTAAAGAAATTGCTCGAAGATGTTGAATAAAAATTAAAGAAATAAATTTGTGTGTCATCTATGAAAAAGACTTTTTTTTCTTCTAAAAATAAGATATTTTAATCTGTGATAGTGTCCAAATTTGTCATGAACAATTTTGAATAATTTTAACCGTAATGAAAAAAAAAATACTACAATTTTAGTGAATTCTTTTTTGCGAAGGCATAATACATTATTTATTTCGTCAAATTTTTCAGTTAAATTTTCACATTTTGAGTGTCAATAATTTTACTTAATTGCAAAAATTCATAAAAAAAGGTTAAACTGTGCATTAAGAATCTGAAATTGTTTTAACTTGTAACTTTATTTCGATTTTAATCTGTGATCTAAGTATTTTTCGCATTTTAACTTCTTTTATGAAATTTAAATAAATTACAACAGAATTTCGGATGATTCTTTCTTTAGTGATTAGGTAATTGTGAGATAATGACGTTAATCAGTTTATGTTGCGACTATTGAAATTAATTATTTATTAATTAGTTTAATTATACATTTTGTATCGACAATACCTATTGAAGTGAAGTTTTATTTGCCAGGAAAAAAACATTTTTTCTTCAATAGAATTTTTCATTTTAATATTAAATATTGCGAAATCAACTTAAAAATTCTCAAACTATCAAAATCTGAAAATATCGGAAATTAAAAAAAGGTATTATTACACTTTTTTATTTACGAATATTTTTTTGTATGCAAGTAAATTAATTAAAAAATATTTAAACAAATAAACCCTTTTATTCTCGACACATCAATTTTTTTTCTTTTTGAGAAATTGAGCTAAGGTACATTATCAATCAAACGCTTGATATTTGCTATCACTTATAAATCTTTAAATAAATTTATGAAAAATTCCTTATAGTTTTAGGAACGACCCTGAAAGAAATAGTAGATATTAATATGTTTAGATAATTTTACGAGAAGATTATTACATTATTTTTATCCAATCATGCCAAATGAATTTATGTAATAAATAAGTGAAGGGTTGATAAAAATAATAATAAATCCAATATGCAGTTATTAGTTTCAGTGAGATAATAAATAATGATGTTTAAATAAAAACTTTATTTCGCGATAGTTTTAAAGTAAATTAGATAAATTATTATCATAATGAATCGTAATAATATGCTTAAGTTTGTCAAAATTGCATATCCCAAAATTGGATCGTATCGGATTCTTTTAATTTTTTTCCTTTCTTTTTTACTGATTCAATCAACAGGTATTATAAAATTCTCGAAATTTGGAAAAATAGCGTTGATAGTCAATTTATAAAACTTATTTCGAATACTCACTTCGTCAATGGGTTTGTTAGTATAATGAACAAACCAAATAAATCGTATCATGAATTCTTCATTTCATTCATAACTTTAAACATCAATTTGAATCAGATTCGTAATATCTTTGTGAGAAAGCGAGATTTTTTTGTTGAGGTTGTTGCCAAATATGACAACCCAGTGCTTGAGGTTGGTTGAGGTATCTTGAAGAGAGATGTCTGGAGGAGCAAGAGGTAGTTATTTTGAGATGCCGTGATGAACAGTCTTAAGTTCTTCCCACTATTTCTTCTGGAGATAACGATACAGAAGAGAAGCAGTCATTTTTAGTGAATCAAGCGCTCTCCTCCAAAATTGATCATTTGCGTGGGTCTTATTCTTTTATACGTTTATCGTCAAAAATGTATTTATTTTGGTTATATTTTAACATTAAATATACCAACACATAATCTGTACCTATTTCTACCATAGAAGGTTAACTGACCGGACTTTATGTTTCTTGATTAAATGTATGAAATATGGATGTTAAGAAGGAAATAAACTAAAAAAACTTAATTATAATTTTAAACAAAATTGTATATTGTTAACTTTTATGTATTACAAACACAAAGAATAAGAATTTTTAATTCGTTGCTCGACGCATATTTTATATATACAGGGTGTTTCTATTGTACATTTTCCGCAAACATATTTCTTCTAATTATTATTATTTCTATAATTCTTATAATTATTCCTATAATTAATATTATTTCTTCTAAGAACTTGTGCTGTCTTGATTGTTTTGACATTTTTCTGGGTAAAAACTAACAGTTAGTTAGAAATAAAGTAAAGCTATTAAAATTAAATATAAGCTATTTAGCGAAGCATTTAGTTTTTGTCACTTTTTCTTACACAAAAGTGCCAATCTGAAATTTTAGGTACTTTCTTGAAATTTGAATTCACAGTTATTCTAATTGAACTAACTATGCAACAGGCTTTGCAGAAATGTGCAACCAATCGAATGCAATACGTTGAACAGGCATTACATCGTAATTTCTGATCCGATAACCTAATAAAGCAATAAATTGTTCTCCCGGTCAAATGACCGGTTGTGCTAGAAATAGGTATACGACAAGTATTATTCGAAACAAACAAACAAAATGCAAAATAATTATAATAATAATAATAGAATATCAACTGTACATAATTTTTAGAAAAAGTCATGAAGTCAAATGTGCAAAAGCGATAAAATGATCAGCTCATTTCGATGCCAAAGTTCTTAAACGGTCATTTGACCGGTTATGGTATGATTAGTGTTAAACAGCGATAAAAGTTTTGGAAAATGGTGTTTGTTAATATTTTAAGCTTGATCCATTATCAAGAATTTTACTGGAAAAGAAGAAAGGAAAAAAAAACTAACTCGCTTCTGGTTTTTGATCTTGTTTAAATGCTCCGTTTGATGTTAAAGTGCAATTTTTTGCTTCAAGATAATAACCACAAAAACATTTTACTTCTTAAGTAAATTAAATGTAAATATAAGTAAATTAAATTTTAGTAAAATTAAAGGTTTATGTAACTGTTAAGGAAATTAAATGTAAAAGAAGTAAATAAATAAATTAAAATTTAAGTCATGATTTGAAATGCATTTTAAATCGCAAGTTACTGAGTTTTATTTTTGGTATATAAAAGAAAAACAATTTTACTGCGTCAATTCTGCAGTTTGTGGTTAAACTATATATATATTTAAAAAAAAATACTAAATAACTTAAAAACTACTTTTTTTTAAAAATGAAATTGGAATTTTTTTGAAATAAGTTAACAAGATGAGTTTTTTTAAAAATTTCTATTTTATTTAAAGAACAATATCAACAAATAATACAAGAGAGAACTATTTCTGTTTATGATCTATTATAGATGCCGAAGAGCTGATTAAAGAGGATTTCAGGAAGTTGAGAAAGTAAGTTGCGGAAAATAGTTGATAGAAACATTTCAATTACAACTTAAATTAAAGGGAGTCAATTTCAATTAAAGTGCTTACCCAGTCTTATTTTATTTTATAACCGTTTTCCAATAGCCGACCCAATATTTTGGGTTTACAACTACTAATGTTCAACTCCGTAGCCTTGCGATTTAAAACCCTATCCAGAAGACAAAGGAACTTCTGGATCACGTAGAGGGGGGAAATTTGCCTTCGTCAAGGATTTTTCAATGGGACTAACTCGCATTTGCGTTAACATGGAGAGAAAAATCACGAAAGTCTCCTACGGTTAGCCTGATGGCAAGGAGATTTCATATCGACCAGCCATCCCTGGGATTCGAAAATTGTTCACCTTATTGGAAGGTGAACTCTCTATCCCCTGAGCCACCACGACTCTATCCAATCTTATTAGAATTAGCCAGGCTCAATGCAAAGTGACAGTGACTATTTGTAGAGTCGGATTT